ATATAATGAGAGACTCAACCAAGGCCGGGCAACCACGATGCTGTCATATTCATATACTTAACCCTTCATGTACACCTGGCCCCCATTAACCCTTCCTCTACTCTCATTATGCCCTTATTAGGGTGATATCGAAAACGCCCCCGCACGCCATCACTCGCATATTCACGGGCCGGTGACTCGGGCCACTTATATAATGCGACACCAAGCCCTGAATTGAAAGGTCCCGTGAGAACGGGTACACGCTTTTGTCTCAGTTTACGTAAACCCAAGACGTGTATTTTACACACTTTGATATTTTGGGTTGATACACACAGTTTTGTGTCATTATCTTCAGTTGTACTTATGTATCTTCAGTTGTACTTATGTAAGGTCCCCGCGACCCAGCCCGAGATGGCCCAATCGGCATATGTAGGTCACTGACTATCAACTATACCTCCTGATCGTTTGAGTTATGTGAACGCTTACGAAACACCAGCGTTATGTAAAGTACAAAGTGCGCTTGGGCTAATTTAAACAAAAGTGGGTGAGGTGAAATTGGGTTTAACGTCGCGGCCAAGATTATTGCACTTATATAGCGACGTGCATGTACGTGTGTGTGTGTGTGGCTGCTTGTACTAGTCCGGACTGATGCCGATTTATAGATCTAGCCCACTGAGATACCATGCCGCAGTTTAATCGATCCCCGGACCTTCCGCTCTCCGGGCGGACGCTCTACCACTAGACCACGGAGGCGGTCTAAACAAAAATAAATGTGTTCTAGAAATACAGGCAAGAAAGTCTGGGGTTCCGCCTAAGCCTGTATTATTCATTACATGGGTGGATAGAGAAAACATGGATGCCTGACCCCCACACATTGTTTACGTTGTGGAAAGAAAGAACATATATGTCTTGATTAAGTAGTGACAGGAAAGTATGAATTCTGGCTCTATGAAAAAATACCACATGTGTAAATTATGTGTGTGTGTTTGTTGTTAAACGCCGCACTGAGCAATATTCCAGCTCTATGACGGCGGTCTGTAAGACAATCCAGTGATTGACATCATGAGCATCAATCCACATAATTGGGATCGATGACATGCATCAACCAAGTCAGCGAGCCTGACCACCCGATCCCGTTAGTCGTCTCTTACGACAAGCATAGTCGCATTGTTACGGCAAGCATGGGTTGCTGAAGACCTATTCTACCCCGGATCTTCACGGGTCTGTGAGGGGCGGTCGGGTAGCCTAGTGGTTAAAGCGTTCGCTCGTCACGCCGAAGACCCGGGTTCGATTCCCGACATGGGTACAATGTGTGAAGCCCATTTCTGGTGTCCCCCGCCGTGATATTGCTGGAATATTGCTAAAAGCGGCGTAAAACCATACTCGCTCGCTCGCTCGCTCGCTCGCTCACGGGTCTGTGGTTTTGAAGTCCTGGAAGGAAAGGTCATATTCATTAGACGACGGGGCCTTGCTGCCTGGATCCTGCATACTGTGATATGGCGCATTGTCCATGATAATAAGGGGACTTGGCAGGTAAAGCAGGGACCAATCTTACAAACCTGAGCCTGTGTGTGTGGTTGACAATTACATCAAAGGTCAAGGTCACGCCGTCTTACGACTTCGCCATTACCACTGCGATCTGAACCAACAAGAGTTGATATAGGGTATCGTCAAAGGCGACGTTGAACTTATTTTTGGTCCCGGACATTTGCTGTATATATGGTTGTAACGAAATACGGTTATAACGAACTGAAATAAGTGGTCCATTTGAGTTCGTTATAACTGTAGTTTAATGAGTTTTTAGTCTTATTTAGTAAATAAAATTTATACAAGTGAGGATCCTTGAAAGAATAATTATTAATGAATTGGTTTCCAATGTCAACATAAAATGCTCTAACAAGTAAACAGAGATATTCATCTTCTATATTATCATAACTACACAGTTGTCAGATTCTGTCTTCTCTTTGAATTCTGCATGCAGTGTCTACCTCTTTCAGTAAGTAGATCGTCGGGAAATAGCGCCCTCTATCTAATTTTTTTTTTTTATATGCGAATTGTTAACGAACTGACCAAAGGTAGAGGAGATCACCCTATTTGGAAGAACATGTCTTTTAAAGTCTGTGTTAACTCGATAATAAATCGCTCTGGCATGTCTACATTCTGTTTAGTCCACACAAAACCATATCAAGTTGGTCAAAGCCCTGTTAGATTTACCCGGACGATCGTAGATTAACACCATGTTGTAACATTCTTTGGAAATCTTGAAGTTGGCATCTGTAGTAATTTTAACCATTATTTAATAACCTTTGAATGAGCGTCTATGTACAATTGGCATCTTCCACATTCACCAAAAAGGTGAGGTGAAATGGGGTTTAACGCCGCGACCAAGATTATTGCACTTATATAGCGACGTGCATGCACGTGTGTGTGTGTGCGTGCGTGTGTGTGCGTGCGTGCGTGCGTGCGTGCGTGCGTGCGTGCGTGCGTGCGTGCGTGCGTGCGTGCGTGCGTGCGTGCGTGCGTGCGTGCGTGTGTGTGTGTGTGGCTGCTTGTACTAGTCCGGGCTGATGCCGATTTATAGTGCTAGCCCACTGAGATACCATGCCGCAGTTTAACATGAATACCCAACTCAGACACAGTATACTGACTCCGAGCCGACCAGTCCTTGTTTTACCCCCTTATTGCCGAGCGCCAGACATGGTAACAACAAGTACCATCTTTTAAACGTCTTTTGGTATGACGCGGCCGGGGATCAAACCCCGGAACTTCCGCTCTCCGGGCGGACGCTCTACCACTAGACCACGGAGGCGGTCTATTCACCAAATAACATAAATTTGGAGTGCTGGGTTTAACACTGAGAAAGTTCTTACAAGCATAAAAATGAATCTTTTCAGTAGCATCTATGTTTCTGTATCCCCACATTTTGGCTCCATGCATCACAATTGGGTTAATTGTAGTGTCAAAGTTTTTGAAAAATGTATTTTAAGTTACATTTCCAAGTGTGCTTAAAGTTTTGAAAAATGCCAATTATTTTTTTCTTAGGATGTAAAGCAGCCTATGCATAGACCATACCAATCTGTTAGTACAATAGACACCAAGGTATTTATGAAAAGTAACGACATCCAGAGGTTTACAACCATTTTTCTCCTCGCGATAATTTGCCACTACGTTCAAATATGACTACTTTTGGTTGGTTAACATTCACAGAGAGTTTCCATTTATCAAAGTTTAAATATTTATTTTTTATCCAGGTATTTTGCTTGAAAACGTTACTATATCATCTTCAAATAAGAGAAGAAATATGTTTACTGTTTCAGGGTGCATCTGTATACCATCTGTACAACTTGCCTTGATTTGCTCTGCTAATTCATTTATAATTCATTTATAAAGAGAGATGGGACTCAAAATACATCCTTGGCGAACACCAATACAACAATCAAACGTATCAGACACAGCATAGTTATTACCCACACGGGCGGTCGGGTAGCCTAGTGGTTAAAGCGTTCGCTCGTCACGCCGAAGACCCGGGTTCGATTCCCGACATGGGTACAATGTGTGAAGCCCATTTCTGGTGTCCCCCGCCGTGATATTGCTGGAATATTGCTAAAAGCGGCGTAAAACCATACTCACTCACTCACTATTACCCACACAAACCTTCACATTATGGTAGAAACAGCACACTAAGTTCCCCATTTTACTGTTAAGTCATTGCGTTTTAAATAGCGTCCAGGATTTATCTCTATGAGCAGAGTCAAATGCTTTCGCATAATCTGCAAATAAGGCAAATAAGGCCTTTGTCCGATATCTTTGCATAATTGACAGTAAAATGAAAACGCGTCAATTGTGCTATACCCCTGTCTAAATCAAGATTGTGCTTCGTTGAGTTGACTGTTTCAAATGTCTGCCACAAGCACCAAACGTGTTTTAATGATATATGTGAACACTTTAGTTAATCCACTTAGAAGCACAATACCTCCATAGTTATTTGTATCAATCACAGTTCCTTGTTTGTGAAGAGGAATAATAACGCTATATGACCACTTCTCATGATATTGGAGATCAGCTCAAGATAAGGAACCAATAACGGTGAACACTTCAGAACACTACACATATCTAACAAACATTTTCCAAAGTTTTTATACCAGAATCTGCAGAAAATCTTATTACGTTTAAATGATCAAGTAAAATATCCCACGTGTTATAATCATGACCGTCTATAAGTATTCAAGAATGCCCTGATTGGTCAGTCACAGGAATGTGACCTTCCTCAACGGGTGGCGTGTCATAAATACCTTAACTCAGCTCGGGTGTTTGGTTAGGGAACGTACAAATGAAACGGTAACGAAACATATTTTTTATAGTAGGTCACGTACGAAACACATTAAGAAAGGAAAAGCATGAAAACAATGCAGAGACATTGACATTGGTAGAATATGTGAACCCATTTTTGGTTAAATAATGCCAAAGGCGGCGAATGTCCTAGCTCTTCTCTCATGTCCAACTCTCACCCTCTCACTCACTCAATTACGCGCACACACAAATAGGACAGTAACAGATTTTGGTGGTAGTTATAAAAATTATGAAATAATATATTAATAAAATCACCCTCTCCTAAATATTCTTTGTAAAGGTTTGCTTAGCAACAACACATGTATTGTACGTGGCCTGCACTATCTCGGTATGAATTCAGTCAAACCAAAACTAAGCATTCACGATTCAACGATTTGTTTTCCCTCACCTATGTGATACGATGCACACGGTACTGATTTTAAAAAACAACAAACAAAAACAACACTATGAATAGTAAACCAATGTTACATCATTGTGGCCCCTTTGTCTCTGGATATATTTACACACAATGAGAAATGTCAAACTTTCTGGATTTATTGGCTCCTTTCGATTTCCATAAATAGCCGAATTTGTTTACAAGATGCTTGCGAAGCGTTTGACGCCGTGTACAGTAAGCCCCGCCCACTGACATCTCAAACGCTGATTGGCTGAACCGACAGCAATAAGTAAACTCGATAACACAGTTATTGACTCCTCGTGAGTAGACGAAGCAGGGAGATGGCGGACCACACGATATTACATGGAGGGTACCATCACCCGATATTGAGGAGCTGGAACTCGGCGAATACTACCATTACATCGGAGAACTTGATTTATCCCGTGTTCATCGTGTGAGTACAACGACGATGTCGTATTTCTGAAAATATTATACACGTGTAACGCTGACAGAATGTTTCGACTTTGAGTTGACACGAACACCATGTTATTCATACGATGAGTTTTTAGGTATGCTATGCGTTGTCTGTTTGTTGAACATAACTGTCTGGTATTGTATCACGCTCATTCAAATGACAGAATGTCGAGAGTACAGATCTTGACTCGGGGTCAGTACTCGTGCCCTGACCGACGTTGTTTACCGGTGTCGTCACAGATTGTAGCCTATGGGATAGTGCACATGTCCGCTATACTGAACCTGGACTTTGAAGTTTTGTTAACTCTAGATATCTCAATTTTTATCCCAATTTCACTTCTATCTTAACTGCGCATTCTAATATTAGTATTTAAATGCATACATTAACATTTTGGTTTTCAAAAGCACCTGTAAATGCTCTCCATTTTTAACCCAGCATCCCCTCTTTGCTACCAGAGTGAGTGAGGGAATGCTGTCAGCAAGATTCCTGCTGTATCACGGCAGCCTATAGTAGTGCAACCAAGATCTGGAAAACCAATGGTTGATAACATGAGCAACAATCCACTCAGTGGTAAAGAGTTCACCGCCTTCATGTATATAAATAAAGTGGGGAGATTCACTAGTGTACAGTAGCACGTATATATAAAACAATTCTCAAAATAATCACATGAAATGAATTGTTCCCCTACATGTTTCGGCTCCGGCTTTAGGGAAAAGTGATTACAGTTAAAGATAATATCAGACATCACTCTGTCATGATGTCACAGTGCTACTGTATCTGATTCTGAATACTGCGACATCACATTGGCGGCTTTAAATTGACAGTGGTAATATTCACAATAAAAACATATTCAGGCACTCAAAGTCTGTAGGCATGTGAGCTTGATTAAACAGGGTGGATGGACAATGTTCAAGACGAAGGGGATCTTAGGTCCGTGGGATTCCTGCTATAGGATATTGATCTAGACTACACCTTGACTTTCAAGCTTGTTTTCAAACCGTGGTGTAGCATCAACCTAGTTTTTATTTGATCTATATAAGTTCTTCAAAAATTGTTTTTTGGTTCTTGGCACACTTTCATGAAAAGTTCCACTCATAATGTTTATTATTATTTTAAAATATTCCTTGACCTATGAAGATCCGGGGTAGAATAGGTTTTCAGCAACCCATGCTTTCCGTAAAAGGTGACTATGCTTGTTGTGAGATGAGTTTAAAGAGACTGGTTGGTCAGGCTCGCTGACTTGGTTGATGCATGACATCGTATGGATCAATGCTCATGATGTTGATCACTAGATTGTCTGGTCCAGGCTTGATTATTTACAGTCCACTGTCCAGCAACCTAGGCCCTAAGAGATGACCAACTGGATCAGTTTTTCAGGCTTAGTGACATGGTAGATAGCTTGTCCTGGTACCCCAACAACATTGATTGTTGCTCACAATATTGATCACTGGATTGTCTGGTCCAGACTCCATTATTTACAAAGCACTGCCATATGGCTGTGATAGTGATAGTGTAGTGAAAAAACAAACAAACAATCTTCATCGGTCTTTGACTTTTCCAGCGATGAAGAAGATGCAGTCCAGGAGATTACAAGCATGCCCGGCCAGTTTCGGTACGGCATCCATCGGTTGAAGGAAGCGCTTGCACCCCTGGTGGAGAAAGGGTTAAAGACAGTCCTACTGTTTGGAGTGCCTGGGAAAATATACAAGGTAGGTGGCTTTGATTCATGTTTTCGTGATAATAAAAAATGTGACAGGTAGTGAAATCACATCTTCTTGAGACAAGGAGTTAAATGACTATAAAAGTCCAGTTTCCACCCTTGCCAAACTAGGCTGGTATAATGGAGTTACATTTTGGCTGGACTAACGAGTCTATGCATAGTGCAATCGAGATCGCGCAAGGAAATCGAAATCCGGTTCATAAAATGTCGTGCAGATTTAGGTTGATTGCAAGATTTGCAAAGCATGTGCACCGCCAACTCGTTGCCAACAGATATTTTCCAAATCTTTTCATGTTTTTAATCAAGGTGCTCACGTGATTTGATACACTTCCCATTTTAAGACCCGTTTTATCACAATATAGATATTGATTATCGATCAGATCGTCTTGACTGGGCGCCGCCATTTTGTTTGAAGCAAATGCAAGTGATACGAGAGGTGGAATCTGATTGGACCATAGGAGAAGCTTAGAAGGACATAACTCGTAATAGCCACTGGTGGCGCTAAGATCGAGCTCAGTAATTCCAGCCTAGTTTGGCAAGGGTGGAAACTGGACTTTTAAAGTCAGTTAACTCCCTTGTCTCGGGAAGATTGTGAAGTCAATTCTTGAGCCAAATTGGGCATTTTGGTAAATCATATGAAAATATCTTTCTTGAAACAGGGAGTGAAACAAGTCACATATGGTTTTCGTGCCAGCCTGCCTGACTACCAGTGATGCTTAATCATTGTCACCAGGTGCTTTCAGATGAAGCAAATTGCTGCTTGTGTTCCCTTGTTTCATTACTTGATGAATCACGCTAGGGCAGGGACGAGTCCAAATTTACGACCTGGGTACCCGACCCCCTATTACCCTACCCAGGTACCTGCTGTATCTCTAAAGTTGGGACACCTGTGAAGATTCCGGGGTAGAATAGGTCTTCAGCAACCCATGCTTGCTGTAAAAGGCAACTATGCTTGTCGTAAAAGGCGACTAACGGGATCGGGTGGTCAGGCTCGCTGACTTGGTTGATGCATGTCATCGATCCCAATCGCGTGGATCGATGCTCATGATATTAATCACTGGATTGTCTGGTCCAGACTCTATTATTTACAGACCGCCGTCATATAGCTGGAATATTGCTGAGTGCGGCGTTAAACAACAAACCAACCAACCAATCTCTAAAGTTTGGTACAAAATGTCTGATTTGGGATTGTTTTACCGGAGCTTGGCAAAAACTGTTTATGTGGTAATATATATTGTCGGATCATAAGTTTTCTGACATCATTCGTTTTCAGGTGGCAATGTTTATCGCGATTACTTGTGCAAAACAGGGCATGTAGCATGACATAGAGATTGTAAATACTCACATGATTCCTTGTTTTTAGGAAAAACTTAATGACATTTTTTAAAGTTATTAATGAGATTATAGAAAAAAATACAAATTTTCTTAAAAGTTTGAAAACCCATAACACAGGGATACACATATAAAACGATCTGGTCATGCATACACTGAAGGTGACTGAAGCTTTATCTTTAATAAAACATAACAAGTCAGAAGGAGTGCGTGCATTGTCAGAAAATCACCTCGTTTAAAAAAAGCAAAAACTAAATTAATGCTCCCTACTCACATTTTGTGCTCATTTTGAAGAAAACCTAATAAATATTTTTTTCATCACCATTGAGGGAGAAAAACAAAGTTTGGGGTAGTTCGGCATGTTTCTGTTACAATGAAAGTTCACAGTTAGCAAGACAAAAGATACGCTTGGATAAGCTGGCATTTTATTTGGGACTCATCCTTAAACTCCAAGTGTTTATTGATATATACACTCACTCCCAAAAGAAACGCGAACTATAGAAAAATATAGAGAAGTATGTAACTTAAGAAGAGATGTTTCCAATGTGTACCAATTAATGACAAAACTGACAAACAGGCAAATGTCACCACAGAGTGACTTAATTCTTAGCACAAGATGCTGCTTGTGATTTCCAAATTTTACACTCTAATCCTGCACGAGACAAATGGTGCATCTCAAGTCATGGATCTATGTATTGAATGTGTGTAATTCTTCTTATATAAACCAACATGTATGGTAGTCGCGTTTCTTTTGTCGGTGAGTGTATATGTTCAGCTTCTGTTGTACTTCTCTGTGTGTAGTCTTACAGTTATGTAAGGTGAGTGTATGATGCTTTTTGCTCTGTCACGAAACTGATGTCATTATCGTCTAGATTACGTTTTCCGTTGAATGAATCACAAAGGCATGGACTCCTGTGCCACAATCAACCAAGGTATCTCTGTATTCTACTGTGTGACTGTACACTGCTGTCCTCGTAAACACAGCCTCTGATTGGTCGAAATACACAGGTGTATAGTAAACCGAGGAATTCAATCCTTGTGTGAGGACATTTTTGTGTGTGACCTCTAACTTGAGTACTACTGCATAGATTCTTTTCAAACCTGGTGAACACTTTGTATACCTGTTGGAGAGGTGCAGTGAGAAGTTTGACTTCAATATTTGGATTTTCTGAAAAAATACAGTTATTTTAAAAAAGATTTCTTAGAATTATTTTTACTTAAAGTTAAACATTTGTGTGACCTATGACTTGAACACTACTTCATGGATTGTTTTCCAATTTGGGGTACAGTTTCTATATCAATAGGAGAGGTGCAGTGCGAAGTTTGTTTTCAATATTTGGATTTTCTGAAAAAATACATCTATTTTTCTTTTTTTAACTTAAAATGTGTTTCCTTAAACATTTGTGTGACATATAACTTGAAAATTACTGCCTCATTGTATCCCTCATTGAACTATGTGTCTTTATTTTCTGCTTGTTAAGTTTTGACTCGAATCCGTAAGCCGAATAATTACAAAAGTGTTGCCAAGCCATGCTTCCATCCCCATGATGTCAACCAACCGGGTTCTAGCAATTAACCAAGCTGAGAATAGTTCCATCAGTCCCTATCCCGGAAGGAAACTTTATAATTATTTACACGAATAATAAACAAAGCCAGATAGAGTGCAGGTCATGGCTCAGGTATGCTGTTCACAGACTCAGTCTGATGCAAGCCCCTCGGGTATATGTCAACAGTTCCTGTAATGTAAACATGGATTACTCGGAGTCTATCCAGCCTGGAGGTGGACATGGGAGCTGCAGCATGTCAGGCCACATGCTTTTTCTGAAAACTTTCAGGATGTGCCAACCCAACCCTAAAATTCTGGCAGTTCCAAAATGTAGTGTTCAGGTCAAAGACTTTATGCGTACATTACAATAGATTACTGAAAAAGATGTTCAAAGATGGTACTTGTTGTTGCCCTACCTGGCATATGTTGAACTGTGACATGTTTCCGTGACAGTTCCAGACAAATTCTGTGGCCACAGAAAGATTTGCAGAAAATGTATCTTGTTGCAGAACTGCAGAAAAATCACAGAAAAATCACAGAATTTTTCTTTTTGATCAATCAATACACTAATTTTCATTATTTTCAAGCTTATCTATCAAATTTTGCCCTTTAATGATGCCCAAACATTTAACACGTGATTCAAGCATACAAAATATGTATCCTACAATAAAAGGAATTTTGAAATATATAATTTTCACTTTTAATTTGACAACATTATGTACATATACTATGTGTACATCTCACAATAAATAAATATCAGTGACACTATCCATATAAGTTTGTTTTAATTTTTTAGGGGGAAATGGTTGTTTTAGCTGCAGAATTATGTAATTTAAGCTGCAGAAGTTTGATAATTTTACCTCAGATTTCGTTGGGACTGATGGTATATCATTTGGCTGGCACTAGACTAACACACAGACAGACAGACACACACACACACAGACAGACACAGAGAGAGAGAGACACACAGACACACACACACTCCCTCACTCACACACAATTATTTACAGGCCACAGTGTTTTGACAAGAATATTGCTGAGCACGACATTAAATAGCACACACTGTAATCTGTTTGATATGTAAATGTTTGATGTTTCAGGACAACGAGGGTACGGGTGCAGACCTGCCGACAACGCCGGTGCTGCTGGCTATTGGACTGCTCCGCAAGTGGTTCCCCCATCTCCTCATCGCCTGTGACGTCTGTCTGTGCCCCTACACATGCCACGGACATTGTGGTGAGTCCACATGTACAGTTAAAATCGATATGGCCAGCTAAAGTATGTTCCTAGTGACTCGAGGGATGATTTAGGGAGTGGTCATGTATTTTATTATTGTTGGGGTGAGATTGTTGTTAGGACTGTGTCATGTTATACTGACATCCTGCCCCCCACCCCCCATCCCATACATATAACATTTTTTCATGCTCTCCCCTATAATAAATGACCAACCCCTAAATAATTTTAAAATTTACGGCCCCCCCCTTCCGATAGTTGTGATAACTTTTGGTGTACCCTGCCCTCTTTCGCTGTGTCATATTTATTCTTCAGGTTGTCACACTGGCATTCCAAGGGCAAACATAAATATCTTAATGACTGCCCCCTGGCACATTGAAAAAAAACACATTTCCACCTCTACGATACATATATGACAGTAAGGCCGTGGTATGGCCGATTATAATCATTACAGCTCTACACTTTCCATGCGAGGAGACACCACCATCAGAGAAAAGGAAAAGACACACAATGCAAACTTTTGTTTATTAATGAAACAGTGGTTGCAAGGATTTATTTACAATTAAAAAAATAATGTTTTGTCTAAAATTAGGATTTTTGAAGAGTTGATAGTTTTGTATATTCAGGTGTAATAAAACATTTTGTGTTAACCTTGTTCCAATACATTGGTATAAAACTAAATGTTAAGGACTTCTCTTTTTTGGTCCTATTATCAGAGTCCCCTTGACCAGCTGGGCCATCACTTAAGTTAACTAATATGACTGTATTAACAATGACATCAATTGGATTTTTAAAATTTCATTTGGGGAGTTTACTGACATTTGGTGTAGACCTGTGTCAGAAGATCTGCACTGATCTCGATAAACATGAGGTCTACAGATTTCTTGTTGCCAATATATCAGCTGTAACTTTTGTTCGGCACACAACCATACATGTCCCCTCATACAGTGTTGGGGGCACGGGTGGCCCAGTTGTCAAAGGTGCCGCGATTCGCTGTGCAGAGTTGCGTCCCTTGGGCACGCCAGAAACCTATGATTGTGGGATCGAATCCCTTTTCGCCCCGATTATGTTTCTAGGTTTGTCAGCACCATACCCGTGCTCGTGGGTTTCACCGAAGTGGTAAACGTCTTAGACCTACATCACTTCAGGCTTTCCTCCCACATTAAGCTGACACGCCGCGATATAACTGGAATACTGTTAAAAGCGGCGTTTAACCCAACTCACTCACTCACTCACTCATACAGTGTCCTTATGAAACATGAAAGTCTAGGGGTGCTTGTCATTTGTAAAAGTTACACACTGTATCAACTTCAAACGTTGCAAATATACTACTCAAAAGAAGTTAGGAACACCTGATTTTTCCATATGACTATAGTCAATCTGTCATGGCTTGGTGGTATTGCAACACAGTTCTCTTACTTGTTTTGAGTAGCATATATACTTGCTTTGAACATGGCGTTACATGGTACCCACAGGCTCGCTGACGTGGTTGATGCATGTCACCGATCCCAATTGTGTGGATCGATGCTCATGATGTCAATCACTGGATTGTCTGGTCCAGACTTGATTATTTTACAGACCTCCGTCAAAAAGCTGGAATATTGCTGAGTGCGGCGTTAAACAACAAACAAACAAACATGGTACCCGACCCGTGAAGTTCCGGGGTAGAATTGGTCTTCAGCAGCCCATGCTTGTCGTAAGAGGCAACTAATTGGATGGGTTGGTTAGGCTCACCGATTTGGCTGATGCATGTCATCATATCCCAACTACGTGGATCAATGCTCATGATGTCAATCACTGGATTGTCTGGTTCACACTCAATTATTTACAGACCTCCGTCATATAGCTAGAATATTGTTGAGTGTGGCGTTAAAAAACAAACAAACAAACATGGTACCCATGTGATGAGTTAAGCCTGTCTTCATTCTCACAAGCCAACACTCTAACCTCCAGGTTGCCTCCCTAAATATGGTTGTAAAACACAGAATTCATCCACGGAAAACTGGGGAAAATGTTGACAAAATTCTTCAGCTCCGAGCTTATTCAGAAAATAAAACTGATTCCTGAAAGCAGTGGGAACGTGCTGTTTCATGAGAATGGACCAACATAGAAATGTACATTTCAAAGAAAACAGCTGTTCAGCATTTTGATATTAAAAATATAAATTTCATCAATATATTTCTTAATTATATGTTTAAGTGAAACTAATATATATGATACTGTGATCCAAATTTAGCTTGAAAATCAAAAGGGCCTTATCATTACCTTATCACTTACATATATACCGTATTCAACGTAATAAGCGCCCCGCTCTAATAAGCGCCCACAGCGATATTTGCTAATATACTGGCTAGTGAACAATCTTAATTGGCACCCCTTCCGATTGATCAATTTACACAAGACTTATTTATTCGTGCATAATACGTTTGTTATATGCACCCTTAATTATGGGCAATTAAATTCTGGAAAAATATATCTGTCGTATATAAACATTTCAGGCTGTCAGCATAAACCACAAAATTTATGATTTTTCATCTCTATTGTTCATCTCTATTGTTTTATCTCAAAATAATATTCTAATAAGAGCCCCCTCATTCTAATTTTGAGAGCGCCCTGGGCACTTATTATGTTGAATACTGTATATATGTACATACATTTTGTTAGTGTGGGTCGTTGGGAATAGGGCTGGGATGAGTCCAAAAGTTACTACCCGGATACCCACCCCTCTGTTACCCGACCCTACCCAGGTACCCACTGTAGGTCTCAAGAGATTGGTACAAAATGTCTGATTGGGAATAGTTTGATTGTTGCCCTTGCAAAATGTATTTAGATACACGTATTATACGATCTGGTCATGCATACACTAATGTTGACTGAAGTTTTATCTTTATTCAAACATATAAAAGTCAGAAGGAATGTGTGCATAGTCAGAAAGAAATGTGAACGTTAGTGGCTGGTTGTTATGTGACCTTAAGTGTTGGTGTTATGTGACCTAAAGTGTTGGTGTTATGTGACCTTAAGTGTTGGTGTTATGTGACCTAAAGTGTTGGTGTTATGTGACCTAAAGTGTTGGTGTTATGTGACCTAAAGTGTTGGTGTTATGTGACCTTAAGTGTTGGCGTTATGTGACCTAAAGTGTTGGTGTTATGTGACCTGAAGTGTTGGTGTTATGTGACCTTAAGTGTTGGTGTTATGTGACCTCAAGTGTTGGTGTTATGTGACCTAAAGTGTTGGTGTTATGTGACCTGAAGTGTTGGTGTTATGTGACCTTAAGTGTTGGTGTTATGTGACCTCAAGTGTTGGTGTTATGTGACCTTAAGTGTTGGTGTTATGTGACTTTAAGTGTTGGTGTTATGTGACCTAAAGTGTTGGTGTTATGTGACCTTAAGTGTTGGTGTTATGTGACTTCAAGTGTTGGTGTTATGTGACCTTAAGTGTTGGTGTTATGTGACCTAAAGTGTTGTGATTATGTGACCTTAAGTGTTGGTGTTATGTGACTTTAAGTGTTGGTGTTATGTGACTTTAAGTGTTGGTGTTATGTGACTTTAAGTGTTGGTGTTATGTGACTTTAAGTGTTGGTGTGATGTGACTTTAAGTGTTGGCGTTATGTGACCTGAAGTGTTGGTGTTATACCACATATAACATGGATGGTTCACCTGAGATATGTCCTGTAACACACATACAATATACAATGTTGTGATATGTCAGCCAGCTGTTGACAGGCAGTAAAGCCAGCAGATGGTATAAACACAATTACTTTCATATAGAAATATGATATGAGGAAATGCAAGTTATTATTGATATCTTCATCTAGCGTATGGCAAATGTATTCAGGCTATGATATACATATGATATATGCGATCATTTTCTATTTTTTCCTGTAAGATGAATATTTGATTTGGAAATCTGTTCCCCATTACATAAAAACGGGAAAATAAAAAAATAAAAAAATATTTTTGGGTTTGTTTGTTTATTTTACAATTATTTATCATTTGTTGTTGATCTTACTGAAAGTCAAGTGACCTGTTGTTTTGACACTTTTTTGTTGTCCATCTGTTGTCAACCTTGACATTTTTACCATTGCCTCGGAAACCTCGAGGTCTATGAAGCCGAAACATTCCCTTGTTCCTCTCACTTAATCTTCCAATCCGAGTTTTTACAAGGCCGTCTCATTGAAAATGTTCCGGTTATTACTTCACTACTGCATGTTTCATTGTGAAACCTGTTTCATGCAGAATAGCATAATGTTTCATGTTTTGGGGCACATGTCGATTTTTGCCTGAGCTAGGTCTTGCACTGAAAAATTGCCATTAACTGTTGGTATTTGCAATATTGATTAACATTGTGGGTTTCAGATTTCTGGGCATTATTGAGTGCTTGATTAGCAGAAATTCTAACACGAAGAAACACTGAATAGTCAATAACACCAAATACTCTGTAACACTGAATACTCATTAACGCCCACAAATCTGATAACACCTGGTGTTTCTCCTCTGATTCGATCAAACTCCATGTTTTCCCAATCTCATTAAAATCAGACCTTAGTTCTCGCTACCGCTAAACAAAGATCTGAGGACATCCCATTATGGGTCACGTCAGACCGACCTTGCGTGAACTTTGACCGACAAATAGAATGACCAATTAGAAGGCAGCTTTCTCGTGCTTTACAGCACTAATTTCAAATTGGCGACTATGCTTCGAAACATTTTTACAAATTCTCGATTACAAATTTGGGAACTAAGGTCTGATTTTAATGAGATTGATGTTTTCCCATCATGCAGGTATTCTGAGAGAGGACGGAAGTCTGGACAATGAAGCCAGTATTGCCCGTCTCGCAGCCATTGCAGTCAACTATGCCAAAGCAGGTATGTTGTAATTATCTATCAACTGTTGGTTGGTCTGTATAAGTTGGGGTGTAACGATTGATCAAAGTATTGATACATCACAATTGTCCATGACGTGGTAGATATCAGTAGTTACCACAGTGTCATGTTTCACTTTCGACAGTATCGATCATCTAGAAGTAATGACAGTTACTTTTATCCCATTCTGTTGGGACTCCAGGGTAGACAAGGGGTGAATTGCAAAGCACCAATCGCTTGCCAGCGATGCACAGCGATTCGCCTTACAACAGTGCACTAACTTTCAGCCTCTTGCAAACAAAACAAATCGCTGGCCGAGGTCGCTTCATTCTCAAACCAAAATGGAGTTTGACAGCTGAACAAAAATGTCTTGACTGGATCAACTAGCAAATGAGCAAAGGCAGCTAACACCCCATCACGCTTAGCCTGCTCCACATCTTCAAAGTAGTCATAAATTCATCAGCTCGTCATCAAGCTTCTTCTATTACGTTCTTCATGACGTCAAGGTAGTTGCGCTGCCATTTTGGAAGAGTGCGCAAGTGCTTCAAACTGTTGCAGCGATTAATTTGCTTTCTCTAAGCGATTCGTTGCTTGCAATGCACCCAACCTATAGCCTTGTCATAACAGGTGAGCAAATAGGTTGGGTGGTCAGACTGGATGACGTTGGTTGATTGCTTGTCATCGAACCCTGTTGTACACAATATCAGTCAGTGGATTGATCAGTGGGTACTGTCAAACCATCACAATACCATCACAAACGTTATATTAGGAAAAGACACCGAATACAGACGTGAACAGGTTAACATTTTCAGAATAAATAATTTAAATAATTTCATAATTTCTGATAATTAAACCAAGTATATTGGCCAATAGATAAAACCGTACAGGTAGGTGTATTGTGCAATAGAAAAAACTGTATCGGGAGGTGTATTGTGCTGTAGACAAAACTGTATCGGGAGCTGTATTGTGCAGTAGACAAAACTGTATCGGGAGCTGTATTGTGCAGTAGACAAAACTGTATCGGGAGCTGTATTGTGCAGTAGACAAAACTGTATCGGGAGCTGTATTGTGCAGTAGACAAAACTGTATCGGGAGCTGTATTGTGCAGTAGATATAACTGTACTGGCAGGTGTATTGTATTTTATTAGTAGGACAGTTCACAGTTACTAAGAATAGATAAGTGTAACCTTTTTCAACAAGTACTTGAAAACACAGAATGCCATGCCACTCACCCTGTACACAAGGAACCATGGTGTATGTAGTAGTTCTCTCCAACACCTGCCTACATGGGGGGGGAGGGGGGCGGCAAGATAAGACTGCCTATGTGCACTGTAGCATTGCGGTCCGATGTCTCAGATTGGCTACAAGTCATGAGATGATTTTACGACTGATATCAACCTTACCCTAGCCAATTGCCTCTAAATCATGAAATATGGATATGCATAGCCTGGCCTGGCCTTAAAGCTGCAATAAAATCTCAAAATGTGACTAGCCTGACCAGGTTGATTTATGAGTACAGGAAGCTAAACACACGAATCACAGTTCTGCACCAAATGACACTTTCTAAAAATACATCAGTCATATCTCTGACACATTCAGCATAAGTAATGATGTTTGTAAATAGGTCTAAATATTAAAAAACATGAACAGTTTTAATTACTGGATGGATCCTGATTTAAAAAGCATCAAAATCTTACAGAATATTATCCAATCACAGCTGCTAGCTTCTCCACTGCGCACTCCGTCTTCTGATTGTGACTTCGTGGAGTGCAACCACTGCTGGTCTTCTATAACAATACAGGAATTCTTACAGGCTCTTACACTTGTATTCCCAGGTTGCCAAGTCATCGCTCCCTCCGACATGATGGATGGTCGGATTGGTGCCATCAAGAAGGGGCTGAGAGAGGCGGGTCTCGACAACAGAGTCGCCGTCATGAGCTACAGCGCCAAGTTTGCCTCCAGCTTCTATGGTCCATTCAGGTAAAGGTCATCTTCACTTCCATTTTGCATCTTAGTGCTATGATGATAGTGTATGTTTGTTTGTTTGTTGTTTTACACAGCACTCAGCAATATTCCAGCTATATGGCAGCAGTCTGTAAATAATCGAGTCTGGACCAGATGATCCAGTGACTGACATCATGAGCATACACCTGCCCACCCGCCCCTACTATATTTTCAAAAGTTATGGCCTGAGAACCAATTCTTTTATTTTTTTAAGCATGATAAATGTAATAGGAGTATTGCTCAACTAACGTGATGGGGATTCTGGGATACATTTGGTCCCCCGTAGGTTGTGACTAAGTGGGTTGTGTGGTGAGGCTCGGTGACGTGGTTGATTGTGTGTCATATTACCCCGACGGAATGAATCGTTGCGAATAATGTCAATCACTACATGTTTTTTCCATCCCTGACTCTTTTTTAAATAATGCCTTTTCAGTGATCAGTGATCCATTCATATATATTTCACCACTATTTGCCTGCTTTGCTAAATGTAATCTTGGCAGATAATCGAGAGTGGTTATTCACTGACGTTTTATATATTGTTAGTTTCAATGTTCAGCACTTTTTAATAATTTCATGAGTAATAATGTAATTCCTCCTTATCACAGAGATGCTGCCAAGAGTGCACCGTCCTTCGGAGACAGGAAGTGCTACCAGCTGCCCCCAGGATCCATCGGACTGGCAGAGCGGGCGGTGGTGGGTAGTCCGGGCTCTGAAGCTCACCTTCTATGTTCATGTGATCTCACCCAAATCTGTTCTGCCTTACCCTCTACATCAAGACCTGCCAATTCCTCCTGAAGGATGCTTCAACTCCCAATGAAGCATGCATTATTTTTTGGGCTCATTAGATGTCAGTTTTTCTATGACCAATGTCAATGTCATCTACTGTCAGCTGCAGTGTGTACTGGGTAGTGTTTTCTTACAATCTAGGTCAATGCTTTGTAAAGTGAGACAGATACCTCCACAGACAACAACACATGTTTCCTGAATAGTCAGCCCTTTTGGATGCTAAACAAAGATCTAAGGACATCCCATTAGGGGTCACGTCGGAACGACCTTTCATCCGACCAATCAGAGCGTCGCTTACCCAAAAATGACTGTCGGAATGTGATTTCTAATTATGCAACCTTGAAAACTGAAACACAGGGTATTCTGAACAATAGTTACGGGCATAACGATTGAATCAATACAATCTAGACCATCTATTAGCCATTCCAGAATGTTCTTTTGTTCAGGTTTCAAATTTTTAATCGGGAATTTGGCAATATGTTTCGAAGCATAGTCGCCAATTTGAAATTAGTGCCGTAAAGCATGAGAAACTCTTCAAAGCTGCCTTCTGATTGGCTAATGTCGACTTCTTGTCAGTCGTTGAATTGGTCGGTCAAAGTTCGCACAACGTCTGTCTGATGTGACCCATAATGTGGCGTCCTCAGATTTTTGTTTAACGGTAGCGAGAACTAAGATCTGATTTTAATGAGATTGTTGACATACAGAACTCCGATTCACTGCCCTAGACACTAGAATTTAGAAGCCTCCACACTAATTTGTTGGCAGGATTTCTCACTAAACACTGTTGAATTTGCTGAAAAGTTTGTTTGGGAAGTACAAAGACGATGGATGAATATGGTCACCAAAAGCTTTTCTGTTTTCTGCTGCTCATGAAATATCACAAGACAAAAATATAGATTATGTTTATGTAATAAGGTGGTAAGGTTAGTCAGAGGAGTCTGAAAAATTCATTTAATGATGCCGCCATTGACCTTATTTTCAAGGTCACTATTTGCTTCACTGATCTGTTCTTCATCTGCGGGGGGGCACGGGTGGCCCAGTCGTCTAAGACGCCACGATTCTCTGTGCAGAGTTGAGTCCCTTGGGCACGCCAGGAACCTATGATTGTGGGTTCGAATCCCGCTTCGCCCTGATTATGTTTCTAGGTTTGTCAGCCCCATACCCATGCTCGTGGGTTTCACCGAAGTGGTAAACGTCTGAGACCTGCATCACTTCGAGCTTTCCTCCCACATTAAGCTGACACACCGCGATATAACTGGAATACTGTTAAAAGCGGCGTAAAACCCAACTCACTCACTCACTCTTCATCTGGGTGGACTTACACAGTAATAGTTTCAGCAGGAATGTTGTCCTCCTGAAGTCTCTGTATAGTTGTGATGGGATGCAGATGAGGATGTTCCTACTATTTCAGGATCGGGACGTGGCGGAAGGTGCGGACATGCTGATGGTCAAGCCAGGGATAGCATACCTGGACGTGGTCAGGATGACCAAACAAAAGGTATAAAAACAACTTCAAACGTAATAGGGTTCGTAAGTCCTTTGGTCAAGACTTGTAAAACTCAAGTACTGGTGACATTTTCTAGTGGAGTACTTCTTTTGACATGAGGTAGATGACAACTCTGTTGGTCATTTTGGCTGACACGTGAGAATAGATGTTGTGGTACGGGCAACACTGAACGATACACAACGACACAACTTGGTGGCTACCTGCTGATTGCGGGGTGTATCTTGTAGGATAAACAGTCTCTTGTCATATTTGGTTTGTTTGTTTGTTGTTTAATGCTGCACTCAGCAATATTCCAGCTATGTGGCAGTGGTCTGTAAATAATCTAGTCTGGACTAGACAATCCAGTGATTGACATCATGAGCATCGATCGACATCATGCGCATCGATCCACACAATTGGGATGCAATGACATGTATCAACCAAGTCAGCAAGCCTGACCACCCGATCCCGTTAGTCGCCTCTTACGACAAGCATGGGTTGCTGGAGACAAATTGTAACCCGGATCTTTACAGGTCTAGGGCTGTCATGATTCACTGAAGGCACGATTCACTCGTGTAACCGTGCTGTCACGATTCATGTGTAACCGTGCTGTCACGATTCATGTGCAACTGTGCTGTCACGATTCATGTGTAACCGTGCTGTCACGATTCATGTGTAACCACGCTGTCACAATTCACTCGTGTAACCATGTATTTAAGATTTCCTGTGCGATACACACCATTTTCCCCATATATCAATTCATGCCTCGTTCTGTATTGATTTTTAACATGTGAAATTCATGTTTTGCAATAACCCGTCCTGGTAGTAATCTGGCAAGGGTTACTCTATCAAGAAACACAATGCTAGGTCTGATTGCAAAATATTTTTTGGAAGTCGCAAAACCAGTCAGACGAGTTAACATGAACTGGTTGAACTCTTGTAAGGCGGGCTATGTGAAAAACGGTGATTTTCACACACAAATGATGTAAACAGGCATTGCGCTATGCATCAGAAGAGTTGTACCACCACGTTTGTTTCAGTACCCGACACATCCACTGGCAATTTACCATGTATCAGGAGAGTACGCCATGTTGTACCATGGGGCTGCGGCCGGAGCGTTTGAGTTGAAGGCCATTGTCCTGGAATCTCTACAAAGCATGAGAAGAGCTGGTAGGAGATTTCTATAAGATACTTCAGGAATTAGTCAATGGCTAGAAGCTGGCCAAAGATTTTTGTAAACAGGAGTACAAAGACTTTTATCATACCTCCCTGTCAGAATGATGAGATCTGATTGGTCCAAGTAATCTTAATAAAATACTGAGTAACCCGCTTTGGAGGGTAATAAATTTGTCAGCAGGGAAATAAATCTCTTATACCCCGTGGATTTCTGAATCCATAATTCCCCACTTCAAAGCAAAATTCTGCATGCTTTTCCCGAGTCAGAGGAAGCCACATGACACTGCACAAGTTAACCACAGCTCAACAGCTGTTTTCTATCAATTTTGAATTTGTGTTAATTCTTTTACAATGTCATATTAAAACATGTTGGTAAGATAAATTCGTTGTAGCAGGATCACGAGGGGTACATGGGGTTTTATGCGTCCCTCGTTAGGTTTTCTGAAACCATTTTTAAAAATCCTCACGCGGGACGCATTAAACTCCATGTACTCCTCATGGTCCTGCTACAACTTATAATGGCGGTCTTCAACTTTTGATAAAATTTTGAATTGAAAGTCCAACAAAGAAGTAATAGCAATCCACAATAAACTTGACCCTCCCCATTGTTCAATTTTTTTTATCCGAGATCCTTAGTGTCATATCTCAGGATAAGTCATAAGTAAAACACATGAAAATCAAGTGAAATCAGTCGGCAGCTTTGTACTCCTGCCTTCTTGTCTTGGTGACCGCCTCCGTGGTCTATTGGTAGAGCGTCCGCCCGGAGAGGGGAAGGTCCGGGGTTTGATCCCCGGCCGCGTCATACCAAAAGACGTTAAAAGATGGTACTTGTTGTTACCCTGTCTGGCGCTGGGCATTAAGGGGCTAAAACAAGGACTGGTCGGCTCGGAGTCAGTATACTGTGTCTGAGTGGGGTATTCATGTTAAACTGCGGCATGGTATCTCAGTGAGCTAGCACTATAAATCGGCATCAGTCCGGACTAGTACAAGCAGCCACACAAACACACACACGTACATGCACGTCGCTATATAAGTGCAATAATCTTGGACGCGACGTTAAACCCCATTTCACCTCACCTCGCCTCACCTCACCTCACCTCACCTCACCTCACCTCACCTCACCTCACCTCACCTCACTTCACCTCATGTCTTGGACCCCAAGAACTATCACTGAGAGATCCATGGGCTTAAAAATAGATGACCCATGTAAGCCACTGATAGCTGACAATTCACTTTATGACATTCATCTGCAGGCGCTGACATCATCATCACCTACTACGTGCCGCAACTTCTTGACTGGCTGAAGTAACAGCGCAGAGAGACGACTGATCACAACATTCATAGACTCTAAGACTGAAAAGATACATTTCCTCCAATCTTCTCATCGATATGCTCACAGTGTCTGTCCATAACATCCACTGCTTGAGCTGAGGGCTACTTAAGTAACACAGGATATATTTTTGTTTGTTTTAGTAAATGTTGGACATATTTTATAAAAAATGCTATTTGCAGTTAACAGTTTAACTGCAGACCATGTCTGTGTTCAAGTAAAGTTAATAAACGCCATCTCCAGTGTAGATGTAAACTTAGCTGAGTGGGAAGCAGTGCACTTGACATATCCCCGTGTAATGGGTTTTCGGATGCTTAAAGGGGAAGTGTACACACAAAAATCACTTTCTATCTTTTTCTAAACAAAACTCAATTTTAGAATTAGTTAGTATCTGTGTTTGAAAATATACACTCATTTTTTTCACAGTGAAAGTAGGAAGCTCACAATAGTGTGAAAATGATATGCCGTTATGAGGCCTTCGTTTTTCGAGCTAAACAGGCCTGAGTTATCCCCCTTAGATTATGACATAATTGGTGCCAATTCAACTGGGTCCCTGTCTATTCTCAACGCAAAAGATATCAAGTACCAGTTTGTGGTAAAACAACATGGCCTACGACACACTCCGGCGCAGTGGTGACTCAGCATAATACTATGCTGGCTGGCATCTGAGACGCTAGAATCACACACCTGTACCTACACCACGTGAAGCGGCTCTAACAAAGCATGACGACGTCATAATGTTTATCAATTGGCACCAATGACGTCATATTGAAAGGGGCATAAGCCATGGTGTTTTTGTTATGGAAATAGAACACTTGGTAAATGTGAAAAATATAAATCATTTTAATGCAAAAAATATGTCAATTATTAGTGATATTTTTATATTTTTGTCTATGACACTTCTAGGTTAACACTTTTAATGTGGAAAAAGTACAAGAAAAATAGGTTCATTTCCATGTGTACTTGCCCTTTAAGAAACATTTGTAATTTTCTTGTTAATCGCAAGAACCACTGTTAAACATCTCACTCACTTATAAAAGACGACTTTATCTTAAAAACACGTCATCATCTGAGTATTTACAATGTCTGTATGACGCCACACCCCATGTGTTGGTGCGAGTAATAAACATGGCTGACCGAAAACGTATGATGTCCAACAACCTATGGCCCGATGATACTTTAAATTTCATTTGTTATGTCAAGTGAACAGTGTTTGTAGATATTTCAGTAACTCAGGTAAATAGTTTACACTTAAAATGGCTTTCTGCATACAGATTTAGTATTTTAGTAAAGAAAGTGTTCTAACATTGGACCAGGCTGGAACGCTGCACCAGGCTGTACGTATGCTTCTAGTTATCTCCCTTTGTTTTGGAGGGCACTTTTCACAGCATGCAGATGTACAAATTCCAGATAGTGTTTATTTAAGATTTGACTTCCATTTTTGGGGTCTTTTTAGGGGTATAAATGTAAAAAAAGAGCGTGCAGACTTTGTTGACATTTTTAAGTCGGTACTGCAATTTTCAAGTTTATACCTCCATAATTATAGGGGGCACGGGTGGCCCAGTCGCCGTGATTCGCTGTGCAGAGTTGCGTCCCTTGGGCACGCCAGAGACCTATGATTGTGGTTTTGAATCCTGGTTCGCCCCAATTATGTTTCTAGGTTTGTCAGCACCATACCCGTGCTCGTGGGTTTCACCGAAGTGATAAACGTCTGAGACCTGCATCACTTTGGGCTTTCCTCCCACATTAAGCTGACACGCCGTGATGTAAGTGGAATATTGTTAAAAGCGGCGTTAAACCCAACTCACTCACTCACCATAATTATATGGAGAAATATATTGACATAAATTCTTATAAAAAAATAAGTCAACAATAATGACCTGACTGTGGTCAAATGTAACAAGTGTATTTTGGGGTTTGTGTATTCTCAACTCCATGGGAAACCTGCCAATTTATTATCAGAGGGGTACACAAAGTACGTGATCTAGACTACCAGTTGTCAGACTTCTATTTTGTGCAAGCCTCGGTGGCTGGGTGGGTCAGATCACTGGCTTGGTGTGCCTCACTGTGGCAGTGTGGTTCCTGATCCCAGATGAGATTCAACCCCCAAAAGTACTAGAATCTGTATTATACTATATATAACATTTGTTACATTTATCCAATATCAAAAGGCATTGTGTATTATAACTTACAAGGTTGTACTGTGTTCTGTTTCTTCTTGTATATAATGAGACACTGTGCAGTAATATATTTTAGCTTCAACAGAGGCTTTTCTGATCTCATTATACGCAGTTCTTTACCTCTGATATAATACCTGCCTGAGCGAAGATCATACAATAACTCAATAGGAGGTCACGTCAAGTGTCGAGGCTTCTAAATTCTTGGCACAGTGAAACGAATAATTCAAACATCATATCTGATTTCCATCTCTAAAAAAAAACAGAAATGTAAATGAGCAGTTCTGAAATAATGGAAATAATGGAAATAATAAAATCTGTGCTGTGAAATAGCTGTAGATATATAAACAGCCTGTTGTTTCGGAGCGCCAAAGTATATACCCCCATGGGCGGATACAGATGGGGGGTGCGGGGGTGCGCAAAAATCTTTATTTCTGTATGAATTACAACCAAAGACAATAGATAGATCTTAGTTGTGCAACCCCCCTTTTCAAAAAAGCTGTATCCGCCTCTGACCCCAAAGAGCATGTTTTTATTAGTTGTGATCAAAATTTTAAACTCTGGTTGTACATAACCGAAGTCAAATTGTTTATGAAAGCTGATAAATGATTGATTCAAGAATCTGTCGTTTAGCTTGGGCAGTCAGTGTTAGCTTATGGCTCACCTGACACGTCCTTTGTGAGACTTCCGGGGTCTGTGATATTTGAGGGTTCTGATGGTGGTGATTTTTAGGTAGAATATTTAGAGACTTTTGTCAGTCGACAGTAATCATGTTACTGTCAGTACAATCAGTGCAGATAGGTTTAAAATGTTTGTTTTGTCAGCAAATGGTGGAACAAAGCAGTATTTACTTTTTATTTTGCTTTTATTTTCTTTATGGATTTCATATTTTATCTAAACGAATTAATAAAACAAGCGTGAAAATATTTTAGGACCAAAACGTGTCTAAGCTCTCTTTTACCATGTTTACTACAAGAGTCATTTTCTATTAAATGTTTAAGGATATCCTGTTTCAGATGGTGTTTTTGAGTCATCTTATGCCGATGAGTAATCCCATCAGGACCCATGTACATGTCCTGGTGAATGTCTATAGGACGTCCCAACCTGCTGGCATTGCCTCCCCCACATGTAGCAATATCTCTGTGGCGTTCAAGCTGACTAGATCTCAGTGTATTGATTGTTGAGAACTGCATAAAGAACTGCATACTTTTATATGATTTGTTAGAGATGATGTCAACATCCCCCTCCCCTCCCCACACACACACACACACCACCACCACCACCATCCCATTCACAACCTCCATCCCGTGGACGTAATGCTGTTCCGTCTCACAGACCTACCCTACGCAGTCCTGTGCCTTTGGAGGAGTTTATGCAAGTAATTTGCTCCTCCCGCTGTGCTTCCATTGATGTGCTATCTGATTCCACATTGTTACAATCCCCGTCCCCCTGTCCACTCCTCTTGCTGTGCTCTGCTGATGAGCGATCTGATTCCACGTTACAGTCCTCGTCCCTTGGTCCGCTCCTCTCGCTGTGCTCCCTTGATGTGTGATCTGATCCCACGTTACAGTACTCGTCCCTTGGTCTGCTGCTCTCGCTGTGCTCCCTTGATGTGTGATCTGATTCCACGTTACAATCCCCGTCCCTCTGTCTGCTCCTTTGCTGTGCTCCGTTGATGTGTGATCTGATTCCACGTTAGAGTCCTCGTCCCTTGGTCTGCTCCTTTCGCTGTGCTCCCTTGATGTGTGATCTGATTCCATGTTACAGTCGTCGTCCCTTGGTCCACTCCTCTCGCTGTGCTCTCTTGATGTGTGATCTGATTCCACGTTACAGTCCCCGTCCCTCTGTCTGCTCCTCTAGCTGTGCTCCCTTGATGTGTGATCTGATTCCACGTTAGAGTCCTCGTCCCTTGGTCTGCTGCTCTCGCTGTGCTCCGTTGATGTGTGATCTGATTCCACGTTACAGTCCTCGTCCCTTGGTCTGCTGCTGTCGCTGTGCTCCGTTGATGTGTGATCTGATTCCACGTTACAGTCCTCGTCCCTTGGTCTGCTGCTGTCGCTGTGCTCCGTTGATGTGTGATCTGATTCCACGTTACAGTCCTCGTCCCTTGGTCTACTGCTCTCGCTGTGCTCCCTTGATGTGTGATCTGATTCCACATTACAGTCCTCGTCCCTTGGCCTGCTCCTCTCACTGTGCTCTGCTGATGTGTGATCTGATTCCACGTTACAGTCCTCGTCCCTTGGTCTGCTGCTGTCGCTGTGCTCCGTTGATGTGTGATCTGATTCCACGTTACAGTCCTCGTCCCTTGGTCTACTGCTCTCGCTGTGCTCCCTTGATGTGTGATCTGATTCCACGTTACAGTCCTCGTCCCTTGGCCTGCTCCTCTCACTGTGCTCTGCTGATGTGTGATCTGATTCCACGTTACAGTCCTCGTCCCTTTGTCTGCTGCTTTCGCTGTGCTCCGTTGATGTGTGATCTGATTCCACGTTACAGTCCTCGTCCCTTGGTCTGCTGCTCTCACTGTGCTCTGCTGATGTGTGATCTGATTCCACATTGTTACAATCCTTGTCCCTTCTACCCCAACTTTGCACCTACATCGATGTGAGAACTGAGTTTTGTTTGGAACAACACTGTCTGTGCTTCACTGGTAGGATTACTAACACTGGCACACAGTGTTTGTTTGGGCTGACGATCCAGGACATATTTACCATTGCAATAGTTGAGAACACTGTTGTGATACTGTTGCAATGTAGGTACAGCTACTACAACTATATCGCGGTCGCTTGATGAGTACTTTTAAAATCAACCACAACATCGATGTTTGCTTAAGAATTGACTTTCACTTTGTGTGAATTCGTTGGAGTATGAACCTTTATAGAATGAGGGCCAAACTTTTTGAACATTGGAGCTTGTAGATTCATAGATAGCTGTAGTCACTGTAGTCTAGACACTGATCGAGTCAATACTATGATACTTGGCTTGGGATGTGCCTTTCTTTGTTTTGTTTTCTGGGATGGGTTGTAGCGAGTATATCGTTTAATGGGCATGCAATCAACTCCCTGACTTATCCAAATGTATGCTAAAACGCTAAGTTCAACATTAAAGGGTCTAAATGACAGGGGACACCACGATATTCTGTATTTATTCATGCTGGGGAATTCCCAGGGGTTTCCCAATAGGAACTTGTCAATCAGTATTTGTCATTTCAAGAATACAATCTTGTAAAATGTGTTATTCATACACTTATGAACTTCCGTGTCGTGGTCATGTGACCGACCTTTCGAATACTTCAAATTAAAAAATTATTATAGGTTGCAATTGATGTTCTATTGTATGGGAGTGTGTGCTGCAATGTGATTGGTTGAGAAATGTGATTAGATAGGATTCAAGGCCTGGAAGAGTCCTGAACTATTCACTGTACATGAATACATCCCTTGATCTTTTTTTCTCAATCCAAAATTAGAAAAAGTTTGATCAAATCTAGTTTTTTTCCCACATTCTGCTAAGAGTTCACTTTGATGTAGAGTGCTTCAGAAAAGAACTGATAACCTTTAGTTTGCATGTCAATGCCCCAGATTTGTTTTAGTTTGAATCCTACAACTAACATTATTGATTCCAAATTAAATTTCCAGGCACTGAAACTTCAATAAACCCTGCCAATCTGGAAACACATAATATGTTGCTGGAAATAAGACTAAGGAAACAATTCATCAACAGTTCGATCAGTTGCTACACGAGTGTAAAGTGATTGTCCAGGTTTTGTGATTCTGCAAATGTTTTAACGTATTTATTTGAAGATGAACATATCAGTTGTGTACTTGTATACACGTGGCAGTGTTGTATATATATATGTATATTTTCTGTATTTTATATATATTGTAATGAAATGTTTTAACCTTTTAGTGTTGCATTGAATTGAATAAACCTGTATAGCTGCTGTTCTCTACAGCAGGGCTTTCAGCAGAATAATGACTTCATTTCTGCGTGGAGTTTTCTTTTATTCAACTTCTACTGGCTGTGGAGTAGGGTCGGTAGCTTTGGTCGGTCCTTTGTTTAATTCAGCTTATGTGTGATTGTCCTTGTTAAAAATACTTACCCCCAGCATTTAACGAGCCACTACATCTTGAACATGTGGACAACCCACAAGTCATTTACTTTGTGTGGCATATTTCATTGTTGAGATCATCCTCACAGATGCAGGCATCATAGTTCATGTTTGGGGAACTGTTCGCACCCCAGTTTCACCCCGAGGTCTCAACAATCATCACCCACTGTCTCCAGAACAATGGCAACAATAAGCTCCCACTGTCTTCAGAACAATGGCAACAATCATCACCCACTGTCTTCAGAACAATGGCAACAATAAGCTCCCACTGTCTTCAGAGCAATGGCAACGATAATCACCCACTGTCTTCAGAACAATGGCAACAATCATCACCCACTGTCTCCAGAACAATGGCAACAATCATCACCCACTGTCTCCAGAACAATGGCAACAATAAGCTCCCACTGTCTTCAGAGCAATGGCAACAATCATCACCCACTGTCTTCAGAGCAATGGCAACAATCACCACCCACTGTCTTCAGATTCAGAACAATGGCAACAATCATCACCCACTGTCTTCAGAACAATGGCAACAATCATCACCCACTGTCTTCAGAGCAATGGCAACAATCATCACCCTCTGTCTTCAGAGCAATGGCAACAATCATCACCCAATGTCTTCAGAGCAATGGCAACAATCATCACCCACTGTCTTCAGAGCAATGGCAACAATCATCATCCACTGTCTTCAGAGCAATGGCAACAATCATCACCCTCTGTCTTCAGAACAATGGCAACAATCATCACCCACTGTCTTCAGAGCAATGGCAACAATCATCACCCTCTGTCTTCAGAGCAATGGCAACAATCATCACCCAATGTCTTCAGAGCAATGGCAACAATCATCACCCACTGTCTTCAGAGCAATGGCAACAATCATCATCCACTGTCTTCAGAGCAATGGCAACAATCATCACCCACTGTCTTCAGAACAATGGCAACAATCATCACCCACTGTCTTCAGAGCAATGGCAACAATCATCACCCTCTGTCTTCAGAGCAATGGCAACAATCATCACCCAATGTCTTCAGAGCAATGGCAACAATCATCATCCACTGTCTTCAGAGCAATGGCAACAATCATCATCCACTGTCTTCAGAGCAATGGCAACAATCATCACCCACTGTCTTCAGAACAATGGCAACAATCATCACCCAATGTCTTCAGAAAAATGGCAAATCATCACCCACTGTCTTCAGAGCAATGGCAACAATCATCATCCTCTGTCTTCAGAGCAATGGCAACAATCATCACCCAATGTCTTCAGAGCAATGGCAACAATCATCACCCACTGTCTTCAGAGCAATGGCAACAATCATCATCCACTGTCTTCTGAACAATGACAACAATCTTCACCCACTGTCTTCAGAACAATGGCAACAATCATCACCCACTGACTTCAGAACAATGGCAACAATCATCACCCACTGTCTTAGGAACAATGGAAACAGTCATCACCTAGTCTTCAGAAGAATTGCAACAGTCATCACCAAGTTTTCACAACAATGGAAAAAATCATCCTTTAACTTCACAACAAGGCAACACATCACACAGTTCCTTCACAATGAAGACAACACATCACACAGTTCCTTCACAACAAAGACAACACATCACACAATTCCTTCACAACAAAGACAACACATCACACAATTCCTTTACAACAAAGGCAACATATCACACAGTTCCTTTACAACAAAGGCAACATATCACACAGTTCCTTTACAACAAAGGCAACATATCACACAATTCCTTCACAACAAAGGCAACATATCACACAATTCCTTCAAAACAAAGGCAACACATCACACAGTTCCTTTACAACAAAGGAAACATGTCACACAGTTCCTTCACAACAAAGGCAACATGTCACACAGTTCCTTTGCAACAAAGGCAACATATCACACAGTTCCTTTACAACAAAGGCAACACATCACACAGTTCCTTCACAACAAAGGCAACATATCACACAGTTCCTTCACAACAAAGGCAACATATCACACAGTTCCTTCACAACAAAGGCAACATATCACACAGTTCCTTCACAACAAAGGCAACACATCACACAGTTCCTTCACAACAAAGGCAACATATCACACAGTTCCTTCACAACAAAGGCAACATATCACACAGTTCCTTCACAACAAAGGCAACATATCACACAGTTCCTTCACAACAAAGGCAACATATCACACAGTTCCTTCAAAACAAAGGCAACATATCACACAGTTCCTTCACAACAAAGACAACACATCACCCAGTTCCTTCACAACAAAGACAACACATCACACAGTTCCTTCACAACAAAGACAACACATCACCCAGTTCCTTCACAACAAAGGCAACATATCACACAGTTCCTTCACAACAAAGGCAACATATCACACAGTTCCTTCACAACAAAGGCAGCATATCACACAGTTCCTTCACAACAAAGGCAACATATCACACAGTTCCTTCACAACAAAGGCAACATATCACACAGTTCCTTCACAACAAAGGCAACATATCACACAGTTCCTTCACAACAAAGGCAACATATCACACAGTTCCTTCACAACAAAGGCAACACATCACACAGTTCCTTCACAACAAAGGCAACATATCACACAGTTCCTTCACAACAAAGGCAACATATCACACAGTTCCTTCACAACAAAGGCAACATATCACACAGTTCCTTCACAACAAAGGCAACATATCACACAGTTCCTTCAAAACAAAGGCAACATATCACACAGTTCCTTCACAACAAAGACAACACATCACCCAGTTCCTTCACAACAAAGACAACACATCACACAGTTCCTTCACAACAAAGACAACACATCACCCAGTTCCTTCACAACAAAGGCAACATATCACACAGTTCCTTCACAACAAAGGCAACATATCACACAGTTCCTTCACAACAAAGGCAGCATATCACACAGTTCCTTCACAACAAAGGCAACATATCACACAGTTCCTTCACAACAAAGGCAACATATCACACAGTTCCTTCACAACAAAGGCAACATATCACACAATTCCTTCACAACAAAGGCAACATATCACACAATTCCTTCACAACAAAGGCAACACATCACACAGTTCCTTCACAACAAAGGCAACATATCACACAGTTCCTTCACAACAAAGGCAACACATCACACAGTTCCTTCACAACAAAGGCAACATATCACACAATTCCTTCACAACAAAGGCAACATATCACACAATTCCTTCACAACAAAGGCAACACATCACACAGTTCCTTCACAACAAAGGCAACACATCACACAGTTCCTTCACAACAAAGGCAACATATCACACAGTTCCTTCACAACAAAGGCAACACATCACACAGTTCCTTCACAACAAAGGCAACATATCACACAATTCCTTCACAACAAAGGCAACATATCACACAATTCCTTCACAACAAAGGCAACACATCACACAGTTCCTTCACAACAAAGGCAACACATCACACAGTTCCTTCACAACAAAGGCAACATATCACACAGTTCCTTCACAACAAAGACAACATGTCACCCAGTTCCTTCACAACAAAGGCAACATATCACACAGTTCCTTCACAACAAAGGCAACATATCACACAGTTCCTTCACAACAAAGACAACACATCACCCAGTTCCATCACAACAAAGGCAACATATCACACAGTTCCTTCACAACAAAGGCAACATATCGCACAGTTCCTTCACAACAAAGGCAACATATCACACAGTTCCTTCACAACAAAGACAACACATCACCCAGTTCCATCACAACAAAGGCAACATATCACACAGTTCCTTCAAAACAAAGGCAACATATCACACAGTTCCTTCAAAACAAAGGCAACATATCACACAGTTCCTTCAAAACAAAGGCAACATATCACACAGTTCCTTCACAACAAAGGCAACATATCACACAGTTCCTTCACAACAAAGACAACACATCACACAGTTCCTTTACAACAAAGGAAACATGTCACACAGTTCCTTCACAACAAAGGCAACATGTCACACAGTTCCTTCGCAACAAAGGCAACATATCACACAGTTCCTTCAAAACAAAGGCAACATATCACACAGTTCCTTCACAACAAAGACAACACATCACCCAGTTCCTTCACAACAAAGGCAACATATCACACAGTTCCTTCACAACAAAGGCAACACATCACACAGTTCCTTTACAACAAAGGCAACACATCACACAGTTCCTTTACAACAAAGGCAACATATCACACAGTTCCTTCACAACAAAGGCAACATATCACACAATTCCTTTACAACAAAGGCAACATATCACACAATTCCTTCACAACAAAGGCAACATATCACACAGTTCCTTCAAAACAAAGGCAACACATCACACAGTTCCTTTACAACAAAGGCAACATATCACACAGTTCCTTCACAACAAAGGCAACATATCACACAATTCCTTCACAACAAAGGCAACATATCACACAGTTCCTTCACAACAAAGGCAACACATCACACAGTTCCTTTACAACAAAGGCAACATATCACACAGTTCCTTCACAACAAAGGCAACACATCACACAGTTCCTTCAAAACAAAGACAGCATATCACACAGTTCCTTCACAACAAAGGCAACATATCACACAGTTCCTTCACAACAAAGGCAACATATCACACAGTTCCTTCACAACAAAGGCAACATATCGCACAGTTCCTTCACAACAAAGGCAACATATCGCACAGTTCCTTCACAACAAAGGCAACATATCACACAGTTCCTTTACAACAAAGGCAACATATCACACAATTCCTTTATAACAAAGGCAAGAATAATCATGTTTGTGTATGTTTGTTGTTTACTGCCACAAACGGCAACAATCAAGTCATATGATGGCGGCCTGTGAATAAAAGAGTCTGGACCACACAATCCAGTGACTGATATTAGGGATAACAATCCATGTTATGTCTCTTATGACCAGCACAGGTTGCTAGGGACCTCTTCCACCCTGGATGACCGACGGGTTTCACAACCATGGCAACAATCATCACATGTCCCTTCACCGTGGATAATGAAACAAAACAAATTCCAGTTTGAAATGCATATTTATTGCATGTTTTTTGTTCTGTACAGGGTTTGATATCAACGTATCATTGTAAAAGGGCCAACTGTTCTATCAAATATGGAACAGCAAACAGAGCACTGGTATTGAGGTCATAGGATCTTTTCCTATGGTATTACAAAAACATCTTTCACATGATTGAGGTGAAATACACACTATGTACATATCTATATACACAAGTATTATGTAACAATATGGTGAGTGCCAATGCATCTGAATTAAGAGGAAAATGGTTCTCCAGTGGACCAGCAGAAATCTCTCTAGCCATGTCCATGACTGTCAACCAGGAGACTGTGAACAGTATTTCAGTCATATCAAGGTGTGCCGTCTTGACATTGGAGTGAGTGAGTGAGTGAGTATGGTTTTACGCCGCTTTTAGCAATATTCCAGCAATATCACGGCGGGGGACACCAGAAATGGGCTTCACACATTGTACCCATGTCGGGAATCGAACCTGGGTCTTCGGCGTGACGAGCGAACGCTTAAACCACTGGGCTACCTGACCGCCCCTCTTGACATTGGAAGGTGCAAAGTGATGCAGGTCTTAAGACGTTTACCACTTTGGCAAAACCCATGGGTACGAAGCTCACAAACCCAGATACATAATAAGGGTGAATTTGGGTTTCACATCAGACACAAACCTGGACAGAGAATAGCAGCACCTGTCTTGCCCCAGGAGAAATAAGCAGAATGACTTTGGTGTGTTCATCACAAAAAATAATAATAACTCAATCTCCAATTGCTGAATATTTGTCTGAAATCAATGAAATTTTGACTGTGAGAATAAAAATAATCACACAACAGTCTTAATTCTGAACCTGTTGGAAGGGACTGAACAGTATATTACCAAGACTGGATTCAAATGATGACCATGCAATTATCAAAACGATGCATAGGCGTTGAAAAAACAAAGATGAACTTGATGAGTGAGTGAGTATAGTTTTATGCCGCTTTTAGCAATATTCCAACAATATCACGGCGGGGGGGGGACACCAGAAATGGGCTTCACACATTGTACCCATGTGGGGAATCAAACCCGGGTCTTCAGCGTGACGAGCGAACGCTTTAACCACTGGGCTACCCGACTGCCCCTGAACTTGATGAAATGATGCTGAGGATGATCACCTGATACTGACTGACCTGATGCCTTGGTGTGGTGACGTGGTGACGTGGTGACATGGTTGCTTGTCATCATGCTTGTCATCATGCTAGTCAGTAGGACTGTGCGTTGGATGGGATAACATGGAGGAAGCCAATACCATTAAGTCTACAGATGATTGTGATGAGGAATTATGAACAAGACACTTTGTACACAGAATAAATTCTACTACTCTCTTCCAAATCTTTACATAAATGTACTATTTACATTATAAACAATGACAAACACTGAACACAAGCATTGACTTGGGCAATCAAAAAAAAGGGATATGAATGATACCAGGTACTTTACATAATAGTAAGCATCATGGCCAACCAATCCACAGTGATAATCTCCATGGTGACGACACAATCATCAGAGTGATAAATGTTAATCTCCATGGTGACAACACAATTACCATAGTGATAAATGTTCATCTCCATGTTGACAACACAATCACCATAGTAAGAAATGTTCATCTCCATGGTGACAACACAATCACCATAGTAAGAAATGTTCATCTCCATGGTGACAACACAATCACCATAGTGATACACGTTCATCTCCATGGGGAGAACACAATCACTATAGGGATCAATGTTCATCTCCATGGTGACAACACAATTACCAGTATGGCCCAACCATTCCACAGTCAGAATTGATCATCTCCATGGTAACAACACACATACCAGTCCAGGTTCCAGGAGATCATCCAGATAAGTACTCTCCATAGCATTATGGCTAATACAAAGTAAGCATTGATAAAAGAACACAATCGCCAATGTAGCTTTATCATGGCATCTAACATAAACATGACTAAAAAAGACACTAATAAAAAATATCTTTCTTGTTTTGTTTTGAAAAATAGCAAAAGTGATTGAATCTCTCCTGAAGATTAGTTTGGTGAAGAAAAATTCACAAGTTCTCATGAAATCCAAGGATTTAATTTTTTTTACTTTCCTAATGTTACATAAAGATAAACATACTCAACACACTTGTGCACATGAAAGGGCATCCTTGACTGTCTTGTGTACTATACTGCCACTCTATTACAATCAATACCCTGGCGCCCATCATCCATACTTAAAGGGTAGGATACACTACATCACCTGTGATTACATACAGCTGTTTGGTTGTGAAGTCACCATTAGCAACCAATGAACCATGTGCCGTTCAGGTCAAAATGAAGCTAAGGAAGCTGATGGGTCCAGCATATTTATCGTAATACATTGGAGATGTAACACACTGGATAATTGAGGATGCTGTAAAAAACGTCTTCCTGTAGTCATCTGTGTGATACGTAAGCTTAATCTGAACCCTGAAACATATTGGCTGTGGCATGGATGACAATACTGATGGTATCAAACTAAATGCCTCTGCTGTGAATCTTCTCTGACAGTTTGTTCTTTGTCCTGTTGGGCGAAGCCTACTGAATACTATATCTGTTACATCATAGAGTGTCAGCTTCTTGTGGGCAAAGTCCAAAGTGATGCAGGTCTTAGATGATGGTAAAATCCACAAGCACGACGCGATGCTGACAAAGCAAGCATCAACATCGGGATGGACATGGGATTTGGAACTATGATGAGCAGGTTCTGACATGATCAAGGGAGGCCACTCTGCATAGCAAATGGCAGATGAAAGTTTTCTGTTTCCCCTCATGTTGAAATGTGAGGGTCACAACATGCTGCAGTATTGCTGCGTTCATTTGATGCTGCATTCATGTGATGTTGCATTCACTGCAGGTGAATCTGTTCCTTCACAGACAACATTGGCACATGAAGTAGGTCATGATGAGGTTAGAGATCCTGGTGATTAGAATCGCAAGTGGGCTTTGTTCTTGATCAGGTATCTGAAATGATAGATAGTGATGGGATTCACAGCATATCATCAAATGCTCTCAAAAATGTATTTTTTAGAGTAAAAATATCATTCATACTTATCCTGACTCATACTTATTGCTTATCTTTCTCTCTTCCGAATAGGTAGTGGAAACGTCCTGTGCTGTTCCCAAAGAACAGAGAAAACAGCTCACCCAAACGCACCCTCACTCTGCGCATGCGCACCGGAACCATGTGACCAAGCCCATTAACTCATCACTCTCTCTTTTTCGCGCCATCTTGGCAGCTGGAATTTTTTTTCTGTGCATCATAATCCAAGCTTTCCATAAAAATTCACCCTTTTTAACAAAATATTTTGCTTGGATTATCTTCTGTGATATTCTATACATCATATCTAACGATTATTTTATATATTTGGCATTAGAATTTTTCGTAATTTGGACTCAAATGCAGCCCCTATCGGAGATCATGAAAACATGTAACCGATGTAAATTTCTACCTCCACAAATTATTGCAATTGCAAATAGAGGTAAGTGTTATGTTTGTCCCTTGAGGCCCCATTCAGCAATATTCCAGCTATATGACAGCAGCCTGTAAATAATAGAGTTCGGACCAGACAATTCAGTGATTGATATTGTGAGCAACGATCCACACCATCAGGGTATGTTGTCACACCATCGACCAAGTCACCGAGTCTGAGCACTTGATCCTCTGAGTTAGCTCCTATAACCAGCATTGGCTGCTGGAGACCAATTCTAAACCAGAATCTCCATGGGGTATCCGAAAAGATGATGATCTTGCAAGATGATACATCAAGACTTGAGCTCATTCCTACCCTGTCACAACAATGCAGGGCTATTGGTCTCCGTTACTTACACCAGAATGTTTAGCGATATCTTACTTAAACAGATTCCCCAAGAGTTGTTTGAGAGACCTACGACACACTGAACTGTGGTCGAAGCAAGTGACAGGAACTGAGGTCAAATCCTCCAAATCCATATATCCCATATATTTAGCGGAGTCAGAATACTGTTTTAAATTTAAAGTTGAAAATGAAGTTTTCCTGAGTATTGTTGGGAAGCCCTATTGCACTGCAGAACACACAAAAGTAGAGTCCGGTACCAGCGATACTGACACTTGTGCCAACCATGAAAGACCAGGGAATGTTGAGTAGACATCTGTGATAAGCATTGTGTCATTCAAAGACAAATGTGTGTTTGTTATTTAACGCTGCACTCTGCAATACTCCAGCTATATGATGGTGGTCTGTAAATAATCATATCTGGACCAGACAATCCAGGGATTGACATCATGAGCATCGATCCATGAAAATGGGATACGATGACATGCATCAACCAAGTCAGCGAACCCGACCACCCAATCCTGTTAGCCTCTTACGACAGGCATAGTCACCTTTTACAGCAAGCATGGGTTGCTGAAGACCTATTCTACCCCAGATCTTCATGGGTCCAGAGACAATTGGGTCCTGGGTATTTGACATGATGGAAAGGAATAAGCACCCTGGATAATCGAGGATGGGGATGGACAGGATCTTTTCAGATCCGTGGTCCCCACGGGATTCTTCCCTGTAAGTCTTTCAGTAGGTCACACTTACTTGTCCAGGCGCTCCCAGAACTGCTGTAAGTTTGCACGGTCAAGATGGCGCTTGTTTCGGTCGAGACTAATAACATGTACGTTCCACTTTGCCACATTGTTGTCCAGGGGCAGCTCAGACCACTTCAGATGATAGGCCTTGACTGAAGACAGAAACAGTCATCAATAGGGGTAAGTTTTTCTGTTTGTTTTGTTATGTTTGTTACTTAATGCCTTGGGGTGAAGCGATACAGCAAGGTCAGAATGTAATACGTATCACGATACGCTACGTATCGCGATATACCCATTTACGTCAAATCGTGAAGAAATGTCTTTACCACCAATATTTCAGAGCAGGTTCGAAAGGAAAAGCTAGCTGAAGACACTTGTTTGTTAGTAGTAAAATTAATAACAACACATTTTGCGATTTTTGACTGACAAAAATAAAAGATGATCATAAAAATCGTTTCACCTCTATTAATGCAACACTCATCAATATTCCAGCTATATGATGACAATGGCAGCCTGTAAGTTATTGAGTTCACAGAGCAGTGATTGATCTTATCAGCTCTAACACACAATCAACAGAGTCACCGAGCCCTTGATCCATTATACTATAGTCACCTCTAACAAGCATCGTACTGGGGACCTATTCTAACCTGGAATCTCCACAGGGTTGGTCACAAGTTGAGTGAGTGAGTATGTTTTTACGTCGCTTTTAACAATATTCCAGCAATTTCAGGGCAGGGGACACCAGAAATGAACTTCACACTTTGTACCCATGTGAGGAATTGAACCGAGGTCTTCGGCCTGGCGAGCAAATGCTGTAACCATGAGGCTACCCTAATGCCTAATCACCACCCTGTAGTCATGATAGTAAATACCTTACCCCTTTCTTTTTGTAACATCAACATCAAACTAGACACAATTTTATGGATAACAACTTCTTTAATACTGTAAAGGCGATGTTTCGGTATAGATCCTCATACCGTTGTCAAGCAAGACTGAATGAGGAACATTGTACAGAATACATATAGTGGGTGGAGGATTGACAGTACCTCTACTGTTAATCCTCCACCTACTATATATATTCTGTACTTTGTCATCCGTCAACTTCTAAGTAAAGCCTATCAAACAATTCATCAAACTATTGCTGTGAAATCACAGATTTCAAGAAGTGTCGATCATGGTCCATAGATACAAACAACAGACTCACTTTTTGAGAATATTTCCACAGGGTTTCCGTTCCACGGCCATCCCTTGAACTGCCAGGCTGGACCCTGAACAAACACGGCCACGACACGATCCCTGAAACAGAGGTACACCGTATACATAGCAGTAGTAGAGGTTAACAGAAGCATACTGTATGAACACATAGTACTCTTTGTGTAAAAACATCTTAGTCAGGACTGTCTTGGACTCCAAACCAAATACCCTTTCAAGGCATATTGGGGGTAAAAATCTGATTCAGTGGATTGTCAATGATCCTGTAGGGCAGTGTTAGCTGTTGATGCGGCAGGGCAGTGTTAGCTGTTGATGCTGTAGGGCAGTGTAACTTACCAGTCATCGGGGGAGAGTTTGAGTGGGTTGTCAATGATCCTGTAGGGCACTGTCAGACCGCCTTCCTTCCGTCTCTGGATGAGCACTTCATTGTCTCGCTTGGCTCCCTGGGATTTTTTCTGCTCTGTGCTGATAAACCTGGCAACATACGGGATGTTGTTTTTACATGCTAGAGTTCATAAACACTTAAGCCACCAATCATAAAACTGTAAGGGCTGTTCAAGGCAATGATCGAAGTTTGCAATACAACAAGAAAGAGTCAAGTTTGCTGTCAAACAGACTTGTTCAGACTTACAGACTTTTCTTGTCAGAACAACTCCATTCACATACTACTAAAAACAAGTTCAACAACACCCACACTTGGCCAACTGATTAACGACCGTCATAAAAACAAATTGGGCGTTCTTTAACTTATTTTGAGTAGTATACATCTGAATATACTACTTCATTATTTAAGTCCAGTCCACTATTACACATTAATCATCTTCCCGAGGCAAGGGCGTTAACTGACTGTAAAAGTAGGCTGGAATTTCTGGGCTCGATTGTAGCGCCACCAGTGGCTATTTCTAGTTATGTCCCTTCTATGTTCCTCCTATAGACCAATCAGATTCCATCTCTCATATCACTTGCATTTGCTTTAAACAAAATGGCAGCGCCCAGTCAAGATGATTTGCTCAATAATCAAGATTAATTAGTAACAAAACAGGTTTTACCCCGATGTGCATCAAGTTACGTGAGAACCTTGATTAAAAAGCATGTTAGAAAACTTCATGACATTTTGAACAGAAATGGTTAAGAAATGGTCACCATCAAAGGTCCAAGGAGAAGATGTTTATGCCAGACCAGAACATGACTTTTAGTCAGGTGAGCTAAGAAGGGGGAAAACACAGCCCAGACCCAACTCTGGTTCTGCAAGTGCCCAATACTGGTCCCCTGCACGATTCCCCTGTACTAAGGGAAACAGCATCCTTGCCCCAGGTACATGAAAACATTAACTTTCCAACATTCATTGATGATGCTGATCCGACTCACCGAAGATCTTGCAAGACATCTTTAGCGTTAAGCATTGTGATGATGGAGGTTGCTGCTGCAGGGATGATGATGATTGGTGTACGGGAACCTGGTAGATACACAGCGTATTCAACAACAGGAAATAATTACCATAATATATATCACACGTACACTGCCATGTGTCTACAGATTAAACAGTTCAACAGTCTCAACCTTAAAACATTAATATATCAAAATTTCACCCAAAAGCATTTGACTAACAATTTAACGAAACGTCACAGCGGGAGAAAGTATATGAAAACTGAGGACACTAATTATATACAGTGTACCGGCAGGTATATCATTACAGGAGACATGGGGTAGATCTAGCAATGTAGCAGGAATAACTGATATCAATCTAACTATCATCGACCATCAAACCCGATGTCTTTGTCTAACAACCAACCTTTCTTCTGATTGGGTGGTGGTCGTGCCTGTGAGATGGGTCGAGACATTGGCTGGGGTTGTGGTGCTGGTTGCGGAGTGTGTGTTTTCCTTGAAGATGCCCCCTCTGTCACTGACTTCAGTGTCAGTCCATGGAAGGTTCTCATTGTGTCAATCTTGAAACCCTCCGTTTCTGAAAGAAAGCAAGTTAAAAAAAGCTCCAATCAGAAAGACATCTCAGATATTTTCACTCCAAGTGAGAATGACATGCATACTGAAACACACTGAAAAGTTAACTCGAAATAAACGACCACAAATGATCTTGGCAGTATATCTCAAGACACAGTGAAATTTGAACCCTTTAGACGACAGTTTTGTGTTTGATTATCTCATGCCTAAATGCCCAGAACACCCTAATTTAATTTTTGTGGTCATTTTGCCAAATATTACAAAGATTTGAAAATGTGTTTTCAAAGTGTGTCAGTATGTATTACTAAAAAGAAGTGTAAAGAACATCTGATTCTTTCATATTACCATAGCTTATCTGTCATCACATGGCATGAAAAGATTAACAATAATTACATGAAATAATTAGCTGTTCAGTAACTTTTTTTGAGTAGTATTCATATTCTATCAGGTAAACCATGTGTGTGTTCTTCAAGGAGAGAGGAGATTGAGTTTTGTTAAATGAACAGTATTTCAGTAAACACACAAGCAAAGCACCATAATCAAAGTGAAACACAAACATAGGATCCAAACCCAAGGGATGCAACTCACACAGTCAGCTGAAGTATCTTCCTGCCGTTTAAAAGTGAGCGAGCATGGTTTTACAGTCCTTTTAGGATTATTCCAAAAACATCAAGGCTAGGGACACCAGAAATGGGCTTCACACACTGTACCCATGTAAGGAATCGAACCCGGGTCTTCGACGTGACAAGCGAACGCTTTAACCACTACACTACCCAACAGCCCCCGTCGTTTAAAAGACATATCGTCCCAATCCAAGCGGGAGGCATTGCAAAGAGTCACCCGAAACAGAACTTACCATCTTTAGGTCTGAATCTCTCCTGATCGTATCTGCTGTAGCCGGTTGTTGGAACAGGCTTAGCTGCCTCCTGAGAACAAAACCAGAGACGGAATAACTAGAAGCACATTTTGTATTAGTCAGTACAATCAGGTACACCTATGAGTGTTGGAGACTAAGGAGTGTCCTGAGACCCTTGAGGGTTGCTGCTACAGTGACCTGAGGACCTCCTCTTCAATGTTGAACATCACGGTTTATGACATAACCCCTTCACTTTCATGTTTTACTTCAAAAACTGACAATTTGATATATTTGTTAAGCTTTCCCTCTATTCCACTGATGCCACTGTGAAAGAAAGCAAGAAAGATCTTCCGACATTTTTTCCCATATCTCACAAGCCTTCGAAATTCACGCTAGTCTGCTAGCTCGAGACAACTAAATAGTGACAAAAACAAAAAATCCAATGAAGGTAGTCCTTGTTGAAAAGTAGCATTTGAGGGCTATAACTCTGAACCAGTTCTAAATGCTTCAATTTTGCTACAGATATTTGTTTTCTGATAAAACAGACAGATATTGAAAACATAGTAAAGATTTTTGTCTCGTTCAAGCAGGACTAGCTACAAATTCGGAGGTTTAGTGAAACAAGGTTCACATTAGTCCTTTGGATTAGTCTTAAAAAAAGAACTTCTAAGTTGTTGTTTTTTGTTTAACGCTGCACTCAGCAACATTCCAACTTTATGACAGCGGTCTGTATAAATAATCAAGTCTGGACCAGACAATCCAGTGATTAATATCATGAGCATCGATGCACGCAATTGGGATCGATGACATGCATTAACCAAGTCAGCAAGCCTGACCACCCGATCCTGTTTACTGCCTCTTACAACAGGCAGTGTCAACTTCTTCTAAGGCTGCCCACTAGTATGATAAATACCCTGGTCACCATCGGTCAATGACACAACTCTAAAGTCATCCCGTCCAATCAAATTGTTAATTCAGAATTTTAAAAAGTGGCAATATTTCCAGTACTTGACTGACTTTTGCATCAACAAGTATCACTGAAGTTGGTCCGAAAAATCATATCAAATGACTTTGGCCCAAGTTTCTTCAGCAACGATTCGGGTGCACTTGCGCTATGGTTATTGTAGGCCTATGTTAAACTATTACCCATCATGCATCACAGATGAAATTATAGTTTAGTCTCTTTATATTTGCTTCATGATGATTGGTTATTTAACCCCAAATGTTCCATAGTTTTCATTGAGATTACAAAACATGCATATTTCTACAGTTTCTAAAGACAAAAAGACAGACTATCTGTCCCTCATAAAATAATGTTACAAAATTGATTCACTCAGGTCTCACTGACTTGGTTGATGCATGTTATCGTATCCCAATTGCGTGGATCGATGCTCAGGACGTCAATCACTGGATTGTCTGGTGCACACTTGATTATTTACAGACAGCCGTAATACAGCTATAATATTGCTTAGTGCAGCGTTAAACAACAAACAAACAAGCAAACAAACTTACCACTGCTGGTGTGTGTTGTACGACTGTGTTGCTCTGCTGCCTCTGTGACCCTTCTTCCCGAGCCTTGATAGATTGGAGAATGCTGAAGATGTTCTTGGCAAAATGCTGAAATAAAAACATATTTCAGTGTATCAACTGAAAGTTTTGAATAGGAATAAAGATTTGTGAGCATTTGCTTTGAACAGAAAATTATGTTTTTTAAGGCTGATATGTGTCCAAATTTTCAAGTAAATGAAATGTTTACAAACTGTTGGTAACAGTTGATGTGAACTACGAACTATGTCACTCTCATACAAACTCAGACACACTAGGATGGGTTTAACCCCAATTTCTCGGTACTTAAACACTAGACGATCAATATCTCATCTGAAAGCATTTCATCAACACCTAAGTAAGTAACTCACTGACCATCTAATTGAATAAAGCGTGACAAAACTGCCTGCATGCCTCATAAACAACTGATCCAGTGTAACAGACTCCTCTTGTGTATTGTAACCATGCCATCTGCATGCATAAAGACCAACTGCATGTATGCCAACCCCATACACCATGACTCACTATATGCAAGCATTATCACTAGCTGTACACAAACAAATTGTATGCCAAATGGTATTATGACCCCATACATGACTAAATATGTGCATGCATTGTTACCAGCTGCATGCATGACCAAATGTATTGTCACCAACAGAATGTATGTTAACACCACAACTACATATAAGCATGTATTGTTACGAAATATATGCATGCATTGTTACTAACTATACATGCTATATGCATGCATTGTTACCGGCTGCAAGCATGATGGAAACTGTATGCATTGTTACCAACAAACTTTATATAGTTAACACCATGACTATATATATATGCATGCATTATTACCAGCTGCAAGCATGATGGAAATTGTATGCATGCCAACCCCATATGTCATGACTGACAACATGCATGCATTGTTACCAACAGCATGCATGACCCCCATACACCATGACTAAAAAAGCATGTATGTTACCAACTGTATGCATGATGAACTGCATGCATGCTAACAGGGGATACGCCCCCTTTTTAAAAATCCTGGATCGGTCTCTGTGCATGCTTGACTACATAGTGCATGCTTGACTACAAAGTGCATGCATGCTGACTGACTGCATGCTGACTGACTGCATGCTGTGTAACTGCCCACCTTGCCAGCACTCTGCAGGATAGTGGTTCTGGTCCTCCACAGCCTTTCCCTGTTGACGATGTCCCGCGTCACGTCCACCTCGGCGTCCACGAAACTCCTCTGTTCCAGTGCCCCGACCTGGATGTCGTCATCTCCTTTGATCTTGGTTCTCTTAATGGCCAAACGTTTGGCTTTGATGGCAGCAATCTTCTCCAGGGGCATGGCCTCGTGGAGAGAGGATGTGCTGGGGAGGACATCACACAGTACAGACACTAGCAACAACCAAGTCTTTACATGTACAAGATAGGGGCATGACGAGGCACTGTCCAACTGGGATTCAGGGCAGGGAGAAAGTTGGGTTTAATGCTGCTTTGAACAGTATTTCAGTAACATACAGAAAGTCAGCTATCGGAAGTTGTGCAGGTTGTATTCGTTTATCAGTTTGGTAAAACGCATGAGCACAAGAATGGTGCTAAAAGGACCAAGAACAATATTAATGACTAATATGCAAAATGAACTCACTGGATCCTGGCATAGCCAAGGGACATAACTTGGCAGGAAAATAATGGCACCTCAATGCACTTGGTCACAAGTGACCCCTGACAGTAATTCATGCTTTGAACCAAGACAAGTGTGAGAGGAAACTACTTAATTCTCAGTTTCAAAATTTTTACTGACATCTGCTGCTGCAGTTGAGCAAATCTAGATAAATCACAGCAAGACAAGAAGAGGCGATATACTCAACCCATAATCCCGACAGAGTAGAATGAGTTTTAATCAGTAAACATTATTCTAAAACAGCCCTCCTACCCGAGTCGAGTTGGCAGCACAGACGTGTCTCTCGGCCCATCAATCTTTGTGATCCAGTTCTTCTTGGCTTGCTGAACTTGTTCTTCCTGAAGGAAACCAATTTTTTGACTGAATTGTAATCAGAATTCATGCGACCCATGAAGATACTGGTTAGAATTGGGCTTCAGCAACCTAGGATTGTCGTAAGAGGCAACTAACAGGATCAGGTGGTCAGGCTCTCTGACTTTAATGATGCATTTCATTGTATCCCAATTATGTAGATTGATGTTCATGATGTCAATCACTGAATTGTCTGGTCCAGCCTCAGTTATTTAGAGGCCGCCATCATATAGCTGGATTATTGCTGAGTGTGGCGTTAAACAATAAACAAACAGAACTAATGCTATTAAGAGACATTTGATGTGTTCAAATTAAGCATTAAAAGTCTAGAGGTCCTTTTCATAACCCAAAGGTAAAAAGTCCCTGGATTAAAACAGGATTAATTTGCCAGCTCACTCCATCATTGTTGAATTCACAACCATAAATACATCAAATGTAACTATAACATTATGAAATACTAATTGATCAAACACATTGTATGTAGTCTCCAGTGCCTGCAAACCTTGCATGAAGAAACCTGCTCAGAGGTGAGGTGAAGTGAAATTGGGTTTACGTCGCGTCCAAGATTATTGCACTTATATAGCAACGTGCATGCACGTGTGTGTGTGGCTGCTTGTACTAGTCCGGAATGATGCCGATTTATAGTGCTAGCTCACTGAGATACCATGCCGCAGTTGAACATGAATACCCCATTCAGACACAGTATACTGACTCCGAGCCGACCAGTCCTTGTTTTAGCCCCTTAATGCCGAGCGCCAGACAGGGAAACAACAAGTACCATCTTTTAACGTCTTTTGGTATGACGCGGCCGGGGATCGAACTCCGGACCTTCCACTCTCCGGGCGGACGCTCTACCACTAGACCACGGAGGCGGTCAAACCTGCTCAGAAGAACATACATCTTCATGTTACAGTAAGCACATAAAACATACTTCACAAGTAACAGCATATATTATTCCCCACTAAACTGACCAACCCAACAATTTCAGGACAAATCAAATTTACAAGAAATTGCCCTCCACAAATTTGTACCTATTTTGACAGACGCTAATTTGTTAACCAAACATTGTCAAAATAAAATTGTAAACAACAAAAATATGTTTGGGCCTAATCTATCGCCAGGGCACACAAAGGAAGACAGCTCACCTCCAGTCTCGCTTTCTTCCGTTTCTCAGGATCATCACTCGTATCATCTGCTGTTCGCTTGACTGAAACACACAAATACACTGTCACAGTTCTTTTGAAAATATTCCTGGAAGACTGAGTGAATATGGTTTTACGCCGCTTTTAGCAATATTCCAGGAATATCACGGCAGGGGACACCAGAAATGGGCTTCACACATTGTGAACCCGGGCTTGCGGCGTGAAGAGCAAACGCTTTAACCACTAGGCTACCCCACCGCCCTCCTAGAAGAGATAAAGCTTAGACTATAACACAGCAACCAGAGTTAAAACTAGACAGATGTTCTTTCAAGCGACAAGGACCTTGCTTGACAACGGTATAAGGATCTATACCGAAATGTGGCCTTTACAGTATTAAAGAAGTTGTTATCCATACATTGTGTCTACTTTAATATTTTCTACCCTACAATTCTCCAAAGTGATCTCATTACAGCAAACGAAACTACAGAAAGAGAGGATATGATCTACCAATATATTTCCCTTACCTTGTGTCGGTCGTTGAGATATTTCCAACGGAGCACTTTTGTCAATACTAGCTGATGCCGTAGTTTCTCCATTGAGGTATGCCAGGAGATCCTTCCTGTCTGGACGTCGGACGACATGAACACTGTGAGCCTGGAAGAGTGAGGTGGAAATTTGTGCAGGTAAAATGCCTCAAAGCTAAATGGGTTTCCTGGAAGCTCAGCAGCTCTAGCTAAACATAATGGACACAAATTTCAGGGTTTCAGTGAAATGAGTTTGTTGGGTTACCATGGTCACCAGAACACTAAAATTTGCATAATTCCTGCACGTAATGAAAACCTAAATAGTGTCAAGTAGCAATGGTTAGCTGTCAATATTTTCAAGTAGCACTTTTATTCGAAGGAAAGACAATCTAATCATGCTGAACACTGCCATAACCACGATCACTACTTCGTAAGATCAATTCATTGATGCATGCATGAATCACATTAAACTTCTTCTCTTATAGACAAACAAAGTCCCTGATAAATTGTCATGATAGGTCTGTATTAGGTCAAGTAAATATCATACAACACGGGAACCAGCTATAGAAACTAACAGTTTTTAGCCCACTAGTCCTTACAATGATAACAGATAGCAAATCCTTAAAAAAGGGCAGATTTTACTCGTCCTTAGGATACCTTAAAGGGCAAGAACTATAGGACTAGTGCCAATTTCTGACCCTGATGGAACCCATCAGAATTAAAAAGACCCTAAGTGTCTTAATGTCAAAAGCTTAGTCGCCACAAGATATTTTTCAAGGTAGTCATTTGGCTACCTCTGATTTTTAGACAGTAGACAAACTCAAATTTAGGTCACAATGCAACCGTTTTAGCCGCAACTATGAGGCCTGCATACCATGTCATGGAAGTTGAAATCTACAGTTTTGGTGTTTTCATTTGCTGATCAGTTCTAATACCCAATTTCCGGGGCCTTGTTCATCGTACAACCGGAACATTATAACATTCCTTGGGTAAACGAGAGTCAAATATTAACTCAACAGCCCCCGACTGGCTTACTAGCCCTCTCTGTAAAGATAAGTTCATTGACTATTTTGGTATAACATGCATGTATTTAAAGAATACAGGAGATGGAAGACAGCTTATTGTACCCATCAGATTTTTCGTGCAGTATAATCGCTTCCAGTTAAAAGTTTTTGCAACCCAACATGAACCTGAAACCAAATCGTACACATCCCCTTTTCCTCACCAAATGACAGTCACCAAAACTCCAAAGCTCACTCGGGAAGATAGGAACATGCTTATTTTGGATTACCGGAAGGATAAGAGGTGAAACACTACTGCCGATTGGGTGTATGATGAGGGTGAGGATAAGTGGTGAAACACTACTGCCGATTGGGTGTATGATGAGGGTGAGGATAAGAGGTGAAACACTACTGCCGATTGGGTGTATGATGAGGGTGAGGATAAGTGGTGAAACACTACTGCCGATTGGGTGTATGATGAGGGTGAGGATAAGTGGTGAAACACTACTGCCGATTGGGTGTATGATGAGGGTGAGGATAAGTGGCTAAACACTACTGCCGATTGGGTATATGATGAGGGTGAGGATAAGTGGTGAAACACTACTGCCGATTGGGTGTATGATGAGGGTGAGGATAAGTGGTGAAACACTACTGCCGATTGGGTGTATGATGAGGGTGAGGATAAGAGGTGAAACACTACTGCCGATTGGGTGTATGATGAGGGTGAGGATAAGTGGTGAAACACTACTGCCGATTGGGTGTATGATGAGGGTGAGGATAAGTGGTGAAACACTACTGCCGATTGGGTGTATGATGAGGGTGAGGATAAGTGGCTAAACACTACTGCCGATTGGGTATATGATGAGGGTGAGGATAAGTGGTGAAACACTACTGCCGATTGGGTGTATGATGAGGGTGAGGATAAGTGGTGAAACACTACTGCCGATTGGGTGTATGATGAGGGTGAGGATAAGAGGTGAAACACTACTGCCGATTGGGTGTATGATGAGGGTGAGGATAAGTGGTGAAACACTACTGCCGATTGGGTGTATGATGAGGGTGAGGATAAGTGGTGAAACACTACTGCCGATTGGGTGTATGATGAGGGTGAGGATAAGTGGCTAAACACTACTGCCGATTGGGTATATGATGAGGGTGAGGATAAGTGGTGAAACACTACTGCCGATTGGGTGTATGATGAGGGTGAGGATAAGTGGTGAAACACTACTGCCGATTGGGTGTATGATGAGGGTGAGGATAAGAGGTGAAACACTACTGCCGATTGGGTGTATGATGAGGGTGAGGATAAGTGGTGAAACACTACTGCCGATTGGGTGTATGATGAGGGTGAGGATAAGTGGTGAAACACTACTGCCGATTGGGTGTATGATGAGGGTGAGGATAAGTGGTGAAACACTACTGCCGATTGGGTGTATGATGAGGGTGAGGATAAGAGGTGAAACACTACTGCCGATTGGGTGTATGATGAGGGTGAGGATAAGTGGTGAAACACTACTGCCGATTGGGTATATGATGAGGGTGAGGATAAGAGGTGAAACACTACTGCCGATTGGGTATATGATGAGGGTGAGGATAAGAGGTGAAACACTACTGCCGATTGGGTGTATGATGAGGGTGAGGATAAGAGGTGAAACACTACTGCCGATTGGGTATATGATGAGGGTGAGGATAAGTGGCTAAACACTACTGCCGATTGGGTGTATGATGAGGGTGAGGATAAGTGGTGAAACACTACTGCCGATTGGGTGTATGATGAGGGTGAGGATAAGTGGTGAAACACTACTGCCGATTGGGTGTATGATGAGGGTGAGGATAAGAGGTGAAACACTACTGCCGATTGGGTGTATGATGAGGGTGAGGATAAGTGGTGAAACACTACTGCCGATTGGGTATATGATGAGGGTGAGGATAAGTGGCTAAACACTACTGCCGATTGGGTGTATGATGAGGGTGAGGATAAGTGGTGAAACACTACTGCCGATTGGGTGTATGATGAGGGTGAGGATAAGAGGTGAAACACTACTGCCGATTGGGTGTATGATGAGGGGGATTCATATCATCCTATAAGAATGCTTGTCTCTACTATGGGACGCAGTTACTAGACATGAGATATTTTACAAATGAAAATCAAACTAAGACATACTTGTATACTTTATATAGACTATAATACATCTTTGCAAAAAGTAAGCCAAATGATCTGAGTAAACAGCTGTAGAGTTGTAATGGTCAGGATTTCAACTAGCCATTCGGGCTAGCAGTTTTCAAAGACAATTAGCAAGACAAAATTTCACCAGCCACGGGATGTCAGCCTAGTGGTTACTGCGAGCCCCGCAGTGCAGATAACAAACATTTGTGAATCAGGCAATGTGTTGCATTTCGTACGTTCAGGTACTTGCAACCAATGGTTTTTTTAACAGGGCCCTGGATGAACATTTAGATAATGCTACACGATGTTGCTTACCACAGCTTCTCTGACATACAAGGGATGCTGCAGGTGGACATTCTTCAGGAGGAACAGGATGGAGTCCAGAGTGTAATACTCCTTTGTGATACCATCCTTCCCGGTACTGTAATTCAGAAACGACAAGGGTGAGAATAATATGCTGCAATGACTACCCTCAATGATACCAATACCTTGCACTCAGTTCATTTGTGGCATTATATGATACTCATGGACATTTTAGCATTATCTTTTTTGTAAAAAAACAAAAGCTTTTTTTTATATCGTGTAGACCATGTGTAGACACAATGGATTACACTGATTACAATGGCAATGCTGGTACTGATACATGTGTTGCTGTACGTACCCAGGTACATTATTACATACTCTGGTGACAAAAGTAGCATGGTAAATCATTTATGTACCCAGTTAAGTGAAAAACTATTAATACTGAGCCTTTTAGCCTTTCAAAGAACTATTAATACTGATCTCCAATTAACATGATTAACTGGCAAGGTTATTTCATTGAAATAATTGAGTTGCCAATGGACTGCTGTAAACAGTGTGAGTAGAGATGTGAACTGGTTGCAAAATAATCATAATTGACGACTGGATCATCCCAACCAATGGATCATAGAAATTAATTGGTTAGTGTCATTTCGCTGTTTTCAATGTTAAGTTCAGAAATTATATCAAACGAAACAAACACAAATACTAGCATCAGTACCTTATTTTACTATATAAAAAGACACTGGTGTCGCCCTTTTCACATTTTCTCAAAGTATTATTTAGTAAACTGTCTGTAACAAAGCCTCTTCAGCCTGCTGACACAAACTTGGACCTTAACATCATTTTGAGTAGATCTTTGAGGTATTACATGGACTTAAATCAGTTGAGCTTACTAGACCTGGCAGAATTTGACTTGTCGCTAGGGTCGCAGACATGTGAGATGAAGTGAATGAAACCTTCCTCGGAAACAAAACTACGACTAATTAGGCCCAATAGTCTGTTAGATTAACATTTAATTGGAACACCACTAACTGTGGGCACTGTGTCTGTACTTGTTCCCAGTATGTTCGACTGGGAAAGTTAGATTTTAGATTACCAAGGTCTACTAAATATCAGAATATGCCAACTACGACTCTTGAATGTTTTAGTTGAAGGCTAAAAGTGATGGTTCGAATGAACATGACAGGTCTTTCAACATGATTAAGAATATAGGGAATCCATGACACTCAGAAAAGTCACTACATACTTTAGTGGGTAGACATTTACTGACACTATCTGCTACAATTTTGGACTTTTACATGTTTTTCGGCGTTTGTTTATTTTCAAACCACGTTTATGCAAGTTTGGCGAAAACGAAACATATTTCACCTACTACAAATGGACATAGGATTAGTTTTTACTTACCCCCAAACTGTATAATTTGTTTTGACATTCTTTGGCCATGCAAATTCTCCAAAAATAATCTGGTCATCCTTTTCAATGATCTCCTTTTTCTGTATGTTGTATTGTCGAAGAAGACTTAGCACGTCCGCCATTTTGAGTTACAATTGCAAACCGGAAGCTTTTAAATAGCCTAAATGAATAGTGAATAAAAGGTAACGTGGGCTATTTTGAATTTAAAAGCTAGGTTTAATGTAGAAATAACTTATATTGCCCACTTGTATGTTCATAAAGCTGAATATTACATGTTAACGTCGCTGCTCTCGATGTGGTTGCCATGTTAGAGCTAGAAGTATTTAGAGAGTACTAAAAATGGCTGCACCCACGGTACTTGTGTTTGAGAATGAATCTTCCGTGTCTGAAAATTTGGGCAAATTTGTTGCAGATAAAGCCAATGACGCAATCAAACGAAAGAATATTTTTACTGTTGGAGTTTCAGGTAAAAACTATTTAAATATACTCCTGTCACTGTGCATGTTGATTACAAACGTGGTCGGTGCGCGACCGGCAATCACGTCTAAGGAAGATAACTCTTCCTGTCTAAACAGTTAAACCCAGTCTTAGAGCCGCAAATTATGTGACAGGTAATAATAGGAGTGGTCCAAAATACATGGGATAAGGATTTTGCATTTTAATTAGCGCCGCATCCCAACTCTAAAACAACCCTCACTTAAAGATGGAACAACAGATGTCTAACTTACGAAAGTTAAGAAACTTCAACCATTCTCAGATACCATAGGCTATCTGGTGCTATACTATAAAAGTACAGGGGTCCCTAAAGATAAGATGGTAAAGGTGGAAAGATTTCCACCCATAAGCTCTGCTTCAAATCTTGCCTGCGTTAGGACAACTTAACCCTAACCCTACGTACATAATGTTTAGACATAGGTCTAGTCCAAGAGATTGTAGCAATTTATTTTACCCAAGAGGCTATTGATGTTAATGCATGTTTCTAAGATAAAAAAAGTTTGAATTTTCCCAAAAATGTTTGTATTTCAAATGTCTGGTTGTCCGTTATCACACCAAGGGGCATTGATCGAAATCATGACTCAGCACTTTTTATACATTATATTTACTTCTCATAATCAAAACTAATAATTTTTCTTTTGATATATTGTGTCAAAATATAGAGAATACATCCACCTTGACAGTCATACTCAAACAGTCAGTGCCCTGATATGATCCTGGTATAATAATTGTTTGGCATTAAATCACAGAAATAATCAATATTGATAATTTTTTGTTCATTTCTCTTACTTCACTGTTAAAAATATCCAGTGCATGAATTATATTTTCTGTAACAGAAATGTTTTGGAATCCACGACAAGCATAGCAAAATTAGTGACCAGGATGTTATTTTAATGTGTTGATACAAGGGAGATAACTCTTTGTATTGGTTTTCATAACAATCATTTGAACAAGTTTTAATGGAAAGGAAAAGCATCTAGGATAAGAATGTTTTTGTTACTGGGTTATCTTAAGTTCTGTTAGAATCTATTAAAGAGAGTACTGGAACATTTCTCAACCAAATTTTGATCCAAGATAGTATTTTACTGGTGCTTCAATGTGCAATAATTGTCCATTAAGTTTTAACTTACAGCATTTTCTATGAGGGTGTCACCTTAAGCAATTTTTATATCTCATTTGGCCTACAAAATACATGTTCATTATATATGAACTATGATAATAAATTTCATCTTCCCAATATTTTGAGTTTCTTATTGCAAATCGAAATGACTGAAATGATTCGATCGTTGTTTTGTTGTTTTGATGACTCACTTATATTCCATTGTATATGATAGTGGCGTGTAAGTAATTTACTCTGGTCCAGATAATCCAGTGATTGATACGGAGCAATGATCCATGCTATCGAGGTACAATGACACACAATCAACCAGGTCACCTAGCTAGACCACCTGATCCCTTAAGATGACTCCTTACCAGAAGCTTATGATGATGGGGACCTGTTCTTACCCGGTATGCTAACAAAGTTACCAAGTTCTACACACTAATTCTGTCTGGGCAAAAGTCTGAATATATATACTCATGTTGTATGTTTGCTTGATGTGAAGGGGGAACAGCCATGTTGACACCAGTAGGGGGTGTCTCAAAAGTGTGAAGTGTAAAGCAGTTGCAAGAGAAACCGTTGTTATTAAGCAATGGTACATGATGATTGGTTGGTTGGTTTGTTGTTTTACGCCGCACTCAGCAATATTCCAGCTATATGACAGCGGTCTGTAAATAATTGAGTCTGGACCAGACAGTCCAGTGATTGATATCATGAGCATCGATCCACGCAGTTGGGATCGATGACATGCATCAACCAAGTCAGCGAGCCTGACAACCTGATCCCGTTAGTCGCCTTTTACGACAAGCATAGTCTCCTTTTACGGCAAGCATGGGTTGCTGAAGACCTATTCTACCCCGGATCTTCTTGGGTCTGGTACATGATGATGCACACATACACTTTCCATGTTGACGTACTACTGCAGTTCAACTGGCAACATGTTTAATATGAAAAACTCCACATACATTAGGAGCTAGTGAAGAAAATTTGCATCAAAGTGTACAAGCCTTGTTATTATGTTATTATGAAGCAGTGTTCCCGTTTACCAGTAATTACCAGTTTTTTACCGGTAAATTTAGGATTTGACCAACAATTTATGAGACTGCTAGTCTCTGTGGACTGGAAAATAAAGAACCTCATGAATATTTGTTGTTGAACAAGACATCGGCAATAGTCATATAAGTATATTTTTCTAAAAAAGTCAGCTTGTCTGTTACCATCAGGGTTTCCCCTTGTCTATTTTTAGTGCAAGGAAATAACATTTCACTTTGCTTCAAGGTTATAAATATATTTGTAGCAACTTCATCTTGAAATATAAAAAAAGAGAACATTGTGACTGAACATTGTATGAATGACATGTAGCTAAGTTACTTCAGGGATGATGTCATTGCATTGAACATGATGCTGGAAGAACTAAAACCAGGTAATTTTCATACGTTGTTTTTATTTGTTGAAGTTTGGACTGACAAAAATTAGAGGGGACTGGTAATTTTTAGAGTTGCCAGTCCACGAGGACTGGCAGTTTCAATAGCCAGCGGGAACACTGTGAAGTTTAGAAAATTATTAAATATAAACTATCAAATTATGAATAATTGGGTGATCAGCAGGAAGCCCCTAGCCCCAAATTGTTGCCCTGGGCCTTATATAAAAACTTGCATATTCAATATCTTTGCCGAGCTATTAGCTACTCATAATCAAGTTAATTCATAACAATATGTACATAGTCAGTGAGGGAAATGATTGAACTTTAATTGTGAAATTTAAAATTGTGGGTTTTATATTTATTATGTTACATAGTCTTAAGAAGAAGGTGTGCAGTTTTCGCAGTGTCACTCTTAAATAAACTCATCACAGCGATAGTACACATGCTACTTTAATGTGGCTTTGACCCGTGATAATCCGGGGTAGAAAAGGTCATCAGCAATCCATGCTTGCCGTAAAAGGCGAATAACGGAATCGGAGGGTCGGGTTCACTGACCTCGTTGATGCATGTCATTATATCCCAATTGCGTGGATCTATACTCATGATGCCAATCACTGGATTGTCTGGTCCAGACTTGATTATTTACAGACCGCTGTCATATAGCTGGAATATTGCTGAGTGTGGCGTTAAACAACAAATTATAGTTGCTCTCTTCATCTCTTTAAGGTGGAAGCCTAGCCAAGTTTTTATGCAACAATTTACCAAACCACAAAACTGACTGGTCGAAATGGCGGATGTTCTTCTGTGATGAGCGCTATGTGCCCTATGATGATGCTGAGTGTACATACAAGTTTTACAAGGAGAATCTGATGTCTAAGGTTCCTCTCTCCGAGGAGAACATCTTTCCGATCAACCCTAATGTTCCAGGTGAGGTGTTCCGTTAGTTTACCTGAACGTAAATGTCATAAACATGATAATTATATCTTCCAAGAATGCTAATTGTTTCCAAGCATTGTTAGCCATCAATGTATGCAAATTGGTTGAAATATGTTGACTCCCCTCCCTCACTCACTCACTCACTCACTGAAGATCCAGGGTAGAATAGGTCTTAAAGAGGTGACTCGGGATCGGGTGGACTTGGTTGATGGATGTCAACATACCCCAATTGCATGGATCGATGCCCATGATGTCATTCACTGGATTGTCTTGTCCAGACTTGATTATTTACAGACTGCCGTCATATAGCTGGAATATTGCTGAGTGAGGTGTCAAAAACTCACTCACTCACTCACTCACTCACTCACTCACCCCTCACTCACTCACTCACTCACCCCTCACTCACTCACTCACTCACTCACTCACTCACTCACTCATTCACTCACTCACTCACCCCTCACTCACACACTCACTCACTCACTCACTCACTCACTCACTCAATCACTCACTCATTCACTCACTCACTCACTCACTCACTCACCCCTCACTCACACACAATGGTATTCAGGTGAGTATATTCAGGTTCTGTTTGTTTCAGTGGAAGAGGCTGCGACAGACTACGTGAAAAAGATACAGTCCGTGTTGCCAGGTGATGGCTTCCCTCGCTTTGATTTGCTGCTTCTTGGTATGGGACCTGATGGACACACATGCTCCCTGTTCCCTGGTCACAAACTACTTGATGTAAGTGTCTGACAACACCAGTCTAGAGACACACATGCTCCCTGTTCCCAAATGACAAACTACTTGATGTAAGTGTCTGACAACACCAGTCTAGAGACACCCACGCTCCCTGTTCCCTGGTCATGAACTACTTGATGTAAGTGTCTGACAACACCAGTCTAGAGACACACACGCTCCCTGTTCCCTGTTCACAAACTACTTGATGTAAGTGTCTGACAACACCAGTCTAGAGACACACACGCTCCCTGTTCCCTGGTCATGAACTACTTGATGTAAGTGTCTGACAACACCAGTCTAGAGACACACATGCTCCCTGTTCCCTGGTCATGAACTACTTGATGTAAGTGTCTGACAACACCAGTCTAGAGACACACACGCTCCCTGTTCCCTGGTCACAAACTACTTGATGTAAGCGTCTGACAAAACCAGTCTTGAGACACACACGCTCCCTGTTCCCCGGTCACAAACTACTTGATGTAAGTGTCTGACAACACCAGTCTAGAGACACACATGCCCCCTGTTCCCCGGTCACAAACTACTTGATGTAAGTGTCTGACAACACCAGTCTAGAGACACACATGCTCCCTGTTCCCTGGTCACAAACTACTTGATGTAAGTGTCTGACAACACCAGTCTAGAGACACACATGCTCCCTGTTCCCTGGTCACAAACTACTTGATGTAAGTGTCTGACAACACCAGTCTAGAGACACACATGCTCCCTGTTCCCCAGTCACAAACTACTTGATGTAAGTGTCTGACAACATCAGTCTACAGACACACATGCTCCTTGTTCCCTGGTCACAAACTACTTGATGTAAGTGTCTGACAACACCAGTCAAGAGACACACATGCTCCCTGTTCCCTGGTCACAAACTACTTGATGTAAGTGTCTGACAACACCAGTCTAGAGACACACATGCTCCCTGTTCCCCAGTCAACTACTTGATGTAAGTGTCTGACAACACCAGTCTAGAGACACCCACGCTCCCTGTTCCCTGGTCACAAACTACTTGATGTAAGTGTCTGACAACACCAGTCTAGAGACACACACGCTCCCTGTTCCCTGGTCACAAACTACTTGATGTAAGTGTCTGACAACACCAGTCTAGAGACACACGTGCTCCCTGTTCCCCAGTCAACTACTTGATGTAAGTGTCTGACAACACCAGTCTAGAGACACACATGCTCCCTGTTCCCTGGTCACAAACTACTTGATGTAAGTGTCTGACAACACCAGTCTAGAGACACACATGCTCCCTGTTCCCCGGTCACAAACTACTTGATGTAAGTGTCTGACAACACCAGTCTAGAGACACACATGCTCCCTGTTCCCCAGTCACAAACTACTTGATGTAAGTGTCTGACAACACCAGTCTAGAGACACACATGCTCCCTGTTCCCCAGTCACAAACTACTTGATGTAAGTGTCTGACAACACCAGTCTAGAGACACACACGCTCCCTGTTCCCTGGTCACAAACTACTTGATGTAAGTGTCTGACAACACCAGTCTAGAGACACACATGCTCCCTGTTCCCCAGTCACAAACTACTTGATGTAAGTGTCTGACAACACCAGTCTAGAGACACACATGCTCCCTGTTCCCTGGTCACAAACTACTTGATGTAAGTGTCTGACAACACCAGTCTAGAGACACACATGCTCCCTGTTCCCAGGTCACAAACTACTTGATGTAAGTGTCTGACAACACCAGTCTAGAGACACACACGCTCCCTGTTCCCTGGTCACAAACTACTTGATGTAAGTGTCTGACAACACCAGTCTAGAGACACACACGCTCCCTGTTCCCTGGTCACAAACTACTTGATGTAAGTGTCTGACAACACCAGTCTAGAGACACACACGCTCCCTGTTCCCTGGTCACAAACTACTTGATGTAAGTGTCTGACAACACCAGTCTAGAGACACACATGCTCCCTGTTCCCCAGTCACAAACTACTTGATGTAAGTGTCTGACAACACCAGTCTAGAGACACACATGCTCCCTGTTCCCTGGTCACAAACTACTTGATGTAAGTGTCTGACAACACCAGTCTAGAGACACACATGCTCCCTGTTCCCAGGTCACAAACTACTTGATGTAAGTGTCTGACAACACCAGTCTAGAGACACACACGCTCCCTGTTCCCTGGTCACAAACTACTTGATGTAAGTGTCTGACAACACCAGTCTAGAGACACACACGCTCCCTGTTCCCTGGTCACAAACTACTTGATGTAAGTGTCTGACAACACCAGTCTAGAGACACACACGCTCCCTGTTCCCTGGTCACAAACTACTATCACACACTCTCCCAAACCTCCCCCTGCTAGCGTGACCATGACTCCCTCCCTCACTCTACGTCACACATATTGACTCGTTCTATCTCCAGGAGACCAGCCTCATTGTTGCCCCCATCACAGACTCCCCAAAGCCTCCCCCTGGAAGAGTGACCATGACGTATCCTGTTCTCAACAACGCCGCATGTGCAGTGTTTGTGTCCTGCGGTGCAGGCAAGGCTGAAAAAATCCAGGTGAGCAACATCACAAATCACAGCTGACATGCAACAGCAGCTTCCACAAATGCGAGCCCCGTAGAGTAGGTCTTCAGCAACCCATGCTTGCCGTAAAAGGCGACTATGCTTGTCGTAAAAGGCGACTAACGGGATCGGGTGGTCAGGCTCGCTGACTTGGTTGATACATGTCATCGATTCCAATTGTGTGGATCGATGCTCATGTTGTCAATCACTGGATTGTCTGGTCCAGACTCGATTATTTTCAGACCGTTGTCATATAGCTGGAATATTGCTGAGTGTGGCGTTAAACAACAAACCAAAACCACAAATGTGAACACAGCATTTAAGGCAGCACACCTGTTAACAGTCAGGGTGAGAAGAAATTTCTTGTGAAAGAGTGCTGCAGGGTTACATTCACAATGGCATGGTTAAACTAAGATCCTAAAGGGCACATTTAGAAATTACCTTACAATACCTTGTGAAAGTTTTGTATTGTGAAGACAGATGTTAATAAATGTTCTCACAAGTAAACTGGAAGAACGCAACAGAATTTTAGATTTTTCATTAAATATATTTTTCTGGTTGGCGCAATTAAACATCCATAGGAGTGCCAAGTAGCACACTTAAAAATATGGGGGCGGTGGATTAGCCCAGTGATTATAGCGTACGCTCGTCACGCTGATGACACGGGTTCCATTCACCACATGGGTACAATGTGTGAAGCCCATTTCTGGTGTCCCCCCGCCAAAATATTGCTGGAATATTGCTAAAAGTGGAGTAAAAGCACACTCACTCACTCACTCAAAAATATGTGGGGATATGGTGGTGCTGAGAGAAGTTTGTTTTGGTTTTTAACGCCTCATTATTCCAGCCATATAAAGTGGTCTGAAAATAATGTGTGGATGAGCCAATCCAGTGATTGACATCATGAGCATTGGTCCATGAAAGAGATGAGATATCCATCAACCAAGTCACTAAACCTGACCACCTGAACCGTTAAGTCGCTTCTTACGAGAAGCAAAGGTTGCTCAGGTGCCACAGAACCTATGGTCATAATATGTCACTCAATGGATCTGTCTCGGCTTGATTGAATGTCATCTCACCTAGTAGGATGAGGCAATGCTCATGATATCAATCACAGGTTTGTCTAGCCCGGACTTCATGATTGACAGGCCATCGTGATATAACTGCAATATTGCCAACTGTACACATGTATGTATGAACAGCTGTAATTAAAATGTCACTTTTATGTGCCTGATATTACTGACAGTGCCATTGAGCAACTCTCACTCACTCACTCACTCACTCACTGACACTCTCTCTCACTCGCTCACTCACTCACACTCACTCTCTCTCACTCTCTCTCTCTCCCACTCACTCACACTCACTCACTCACTCACTTGCTCACTCATTCACTCACTCCCTTGCTCACTCACTCACTCACTCCCTTGCTCACCCACTCACTCACTCACTCACTCACTCACTTACTCCCTCCTTTGCTCACTCACTCACTCACTCACTCACCCAGCCACCAACCCACTCACTCACTCACTCACTCTGCTGGTGTTTCAGCAAGTCCTGGAGCCTGGTAGCGGTGTCCTGCTCCCCGCAGCTCGTGTCAAGCCCACCAGCGGCGAGGTTGTGTGGTTTCTGGACAAGGCCGCAGCCTCCCTGCTCAACAACAAGCAGTAGCCTCACACCAGGATGGGGTGGCCTCGAGGTTAATGTGCTGGCTTGTCGCGTCAAGGACCCGGTTTGATTCCCCACATGAGCAAAACATCAACCCTTGTGGTGTAATCCTACTGTGGTATTGTTTTTATAATACTAAAAGCAGGTATTTCCAGACGGGCAGTCCTGAGTCTCATTGGCATCAAAATTGAAATTGAGCATGAAAAAAATATGTCCACTGGGATGCAGAAAAATAATATTGCATGTTAGAAATTTTACGTTATTAGTATAAAAGCAATACGCATTCAAATGCTTCCTGATTTGCTTGCACCATCACTTGTAATTCGTTTCATTTGGGATCTCAGAATCCATTTTTAACGGCCTCTGAGCATGTGCAATTACTTGGTGGAGTACTGTATTCAGGTTTTTACGTTTTCTGGGACCCCACATTTGGACCCCAATTAGCCTCGGACCCTTCAATTATAGGCTCCCAAAATAAATAAGCCAGGTAAATCCCTGGTAAAAGCGATGTAAAGACATACTCACATAACTTGCACACTCATTCACTGTCATAATAAGGAGGGGGCACGGGTGGCCCAGTCGTCTAAGGCGCCACGCCAGAAAACTATGATTGTGGGTTCGAATCCCGGTTCGCCCCGATTATGTTTCTAGGTTTGTCAGCACCATACCCGTGCTCATGGGTTTCACCGAAGTGGTAAACGTCCGAGACCTGCATCACTTCGGGCTTTCCTCCCACATTTAGCTGACACGCTGTGATATAACTGGAATACTGTTAAAAGCGGCGTTAACCCCACTCACTCACTCGTAATAAAGATGCACATACTAACAGGGCAGGAACAGAACACCAACTGATTCTGGGGAATGACAAGAATGTAGTAGGTGCAGGTAGTTACCGTAATATCAAAGTGTGACAACATGCCGATGGTGGAAATCAGGATAGGATGTGAGAACCAAATTAGCCTGAAAAGGATTTTGTAGTGTTTTATGTTTTGGGTATTATTTTTATGTTGGAGTCAAGTCCCTCTGCTGTCCCTAGCATGGATGTTCCTCTATGATTGTGGCATGACGCTAGGGGTGTACACTATACACTGTATAGAGATATCTGCTTGTGTGATGCATTGTGGTGACAATGTGTAACACTGGAGGCATTGGCGGCAAAGCTGGCAACGGTGACGCTATTTGAAGTGCGCATTTGCCCCGATTATGATTTTTGGTTTGTGAAAGTCCCGGGCCACTTGGGGCATTCCTCCCATATTATACTGATGTTTGACATGATTTCCATACATGTATCATTTTTAAATGCCTTTCAAAGACTTTTATTTCCATACTATTCAAAGCACAACTCCCTGACTAACATTGTGTCAGTACAGCATTGCTGTCCCTCAACCCTGTGTGGATATAGATATATTACATGTACCTCAATGGGATGGACCATTCAATATTTATTTGGGGAGGTGGGGGTGTATTTTTTGTTGAGAGACAGATTTAATAGTATATTTTTTTCCAGTACAGTGAAGCATACTATATCTTTCTTTGAAAAGAGTACTTGCAGGAATATGTTTATATTTCATATTTATTACATGTAAGTTTAACACACAGACACACACACACAAACACACACAAACACACATATGCACCTGAATATCAACTGGGTGGACCAAATTGTTCCACTATCCAAGAATCTCGATGTCCACTGATACTGTAGCTTCTCTTCCTGTACACTGGATATACCAGCCTCTGTACCGACCAAGCAGCGATGTGCTCCTGATTAATGGTGAAGCAGGTGTTGACTCGACAAACCCACAGCGTGATATAAAATACAATGTTAAGTTCATTAGTCCCTTAGTGAGAGGCATGGGTCGCGCAGGATGCCACAAGTCGCTGTGCAGAGTTGTGTCCCTTAGGTGTGCCATAAACCTATGATAGTTGGCTTGTATCCAAGATTCGCCCTGATTATGTTTCTAGGGTTCTCAGCTCTGTAACCAAGCTCATCGGTTTCAGCAAAGCTGTAAACATCTAATAAGAGCTTCGGACTTGCCTCTCACATTAAGCTGACACCATGCTGACATGCCGTGACCGTCTGCCTGGAGAGTGCCTTAGTGTTCTAGTTGATAGAAAGTCAGGCTGGTGCAAGCCTCCGTGTTCTAGTGGATAGAAAGTCAGGCTGGTGCGAGCCTCCGTGTTCTAGTGGATAGAAAGTCAGGCTGGTGCGAGCCTCCGTGTTCTAGTGGATAGAAAGTCAGGCTGGTGCGAGCCTCCGTGTTCTAGTGGATAGAAAGTCAGGCTGGTGCGAGCCTCCGTGTTCTAGTGGATAGAAAGTCAGGCTGGTGAGAGATTTAGTGTTCTAGTGGATAGAAAGTCAGGCTGGTGCGAGCCTCCGTGTTCTAGTGGATAGAAAGTCAGGCTGGTGCGAGCCTCCGTGTTCTAGTGGATAGAAAGTCAGGCTGGTGCGAGCCTCCGTGTTCTAGTGGATAGAAAGTCAGGCTGGTGCGAGCCTCCGTGTTCTAGTGGATAGAAAGTCAGGCTGGTGCGAGCCTCCGTGTTCTAGTGGATAGAAAGTCAGGCTGGTGCGAGCCTCCGTGTTCTAGTGGATAGAAAGTCAGGCTGGTGAGAGATTTAGTGTTCTAGTGGATAGAAAGTCAGGCTGGTGCGAGCCTCCGTGTTCTAGTGGATAGAAAGTCAGGCTGGTGAGAGCTTTAGTGTTCTAGTGGATAGAACATCTGCCTGGAAGGTACAGAAGGTATGTGGTTCGATCTCCGGGCTCATCATACTTAAAGACACTAAAAAAAATCATACTTATTGTTACCCTGCCTGGCGCTTAGTGTTAAGGGGCAAAACAAGGACTGGTCGACTCGTAGTCAGTATGTTGTGTCGGAGTGGGGTGTTCATGTTAAACTGTGGAATAGTATCAGTAGGATAGCATTATAAAACAAGCTAGTACAAGCAGCCATACACACATGTACATGCATGTCTATATAAGTGCAATGATCTCTGAACACTGCATTAAACCCCATTCATCTCACATTAAGCTAAGCATGGGTAGGAGAAAAACACCAAATAATGATTTATTTTTGCATTTGTTAATGATTGCCAAATATGTTGATGTGTTCTGTCTACTCAAGTTAACTTGAAATTATTATTTACAGCTTTGTGAAAGCTAAAGTTAGTGTTTTATTTTTATATTTTAGATATTGATTTGTTATGAATTTTATGGCAAATGGTGTATATTCGTTGAATTATTTATTCCTGTAACTGATTAATCTCTAGTTTTCTGCACACATTATATTGTCATGTATTCGGATATTGTAAGCAGATATTAGTCCTGTAGTTTCAGTGGTATTATGCAGTGCTTGATGAAGTCCAGGATCAACAAGGATGTGTCAGGGACACTGCAGGGGTGTGTAACTGGATACCAAGATATAAACCAGCCAAAATAAGTAGGAAATGCAACATTTGAGACATGTTGGATTGTGTACCATAAGGGTATTGGTGTCCCAGTCATGCAGAGTTGCATCCCTTAGCAGTCCCAGGATCTGATGATTATGATCCTTTGGTTGTCAGCACCATACCCTGCTCGTGGGTTTTGCCAAAGTGGTAAATGTCAACGACCAACATCAATTCAGTCTTTCCTCCCTCATCATTTCCAACACACCAGATATGACTGTTCAAAGCGATATTATACCCGTCTTCATTTACCGAAACCTTGAATTAAATATTTTAAGATTTACAGTACCAGAGATCCTAGGATTTATTTTCCTATTGTCAAGATGTTCTGCTTAAGGTTCCACAGCCTTGTGGACATTAGTCGTGCCAGAATCCAGAGATCGTGGTTACATCCCAGGTTATGATAATGGTTTTGTGAGCTTCACATCCTCTAAGGTTTCATGGAAGTGGTAAACGTAAGCACTCTGCATCACTTTGATCGTAAATAGTGTTCAGAATTGTTACACTAAACTCACACTTGCTGTTTTGCTGACTAAAAATATTTTCTAACAAGAACACATTGTGTATTTCCGGCATTTTCACTTCCTTTTTTATCAAAGTCTTGTTTCCACCCTTGCCACATCAAGCCCACTTTCCTGTGCTAAATATGATTGGACTATCGCACCTATCGATAGTCCAATCAGAGAACGTTTCACAAAATCAACATCCACGACTGGTACACCTTCGTATGAAAGTAATTTACCTCTGCATGTCTTGACACAAATATGTTTTTTCATCCTTAAGCCCCCCAATGATTGCCTATATTTTTATGTCAGTGATGAAATTGCGATTTCTTTTTGTTCTCGGATCTACTAGGTCACCGCCTTTTTGAGTGGCTATACGAGATAAGAGCAGAGATTTGATTGGATATCTCTTTTTTATTCCAAGGGGCACAACTTGTGATCTAAGCAGATGGCGCTGAGGCTTGAGCCAAGAAAAGTGGGCTTGATGTGGCAAGGGTAGAAACTAGGCTTTGATGTAGGCTAGTGGACACGCTTGCCTCGGGAAGATGTATTTCCTGTTATGGCCATGTGCTTGTTGACATACTTTATTCTTGTTGGTTTGTTTTTGGATTATTTTCTATCACTTTGTTCCTGATTATTTCAGAATAAATATGAAGTAGTAACCTGCCTTGTTTGGACTCATTCATACAGCCTGTCTGTGAACGTCAACAAGCACCAAAACAAACTGACGTAAACAACTCCCATCTCATGTTCAGACGAGAACAGAACATGGGGCAGGGGTGTTGTCACTTTAGAAGTGTTCGGACCTCACAAGGAAAGCCAAGTTCCATTCCCTTCATAGGTACAACCAGTTAGGTCTACTTTCACTTTCAGTGGAATTTGTCTACAGTCACTTTACTTAAAGAAATGGTGATGTGTGAAAGTTTGCTGGTGTTCCCCCTCCACCACACCCCCAGCATTTCGCATTTTAGATTTCGGTTTGCGACGTTTTTACTGACTGAATGTGATGCAGAAAATAGAATAAATTATGCTGACTACTGACATTACCACATCAGGACATTCCACTTGTCATACCAGGTCAAACAAGATAGGATATTGAAGTAAGACGAGTTCTATGGATGAACAAGATAGGATATTGTTGATTGCCTGATATACAACTACATAATATCTTTTGTGTATAGCGGAATGATACGCTTCGGCTACAACAAAGAACAATTTCTTTGAGTGGCATTTAGAAGTTGGAGTGATAAAGTAAGACGAGTTCTATGGATGAACAACTTCTTTATTACAATTGGAGCACCAATTGTAATAAAGAAGTTGTTCATCCATAGAACTCGTCTTACTTTATCACTCCAACTTCTAAATGCCACTCAAAGAAGTTATACGCCGTCTACATGGAGACGTGGCAATTTCAGCAATCAACAAACTCAGCAAAGCACCAATTGTAATAAAGAAGTTGTTCATCCATAGAACTCGTCTTACTTTAACAAAGAACAATGTAGGATGTTAGGATATATTTAAATAAAACCGTCAAGATCAGTCGACTTATACATAAATGCACGTTCACAGGTTACAGATCAGATACAGATCATATCCACATACAGAGACGGTTCATTAAGTTGATGTTCAGCGGTTACAGGAAGCCATTAGTGTTCCAAAACTGCACTTCCGCCATGAGTCGTCCGTTGTTGCCAGCTCACAACACACCATTAAGTTGATGTTCAGCGGTTACAGGAAGCCATTAGTGTTCCAAAACTGCACTTCCGCCATGAGTCGTCCGTTGTTGCCAGCTCACAATACACCATTTAGTTGATGTTCAGCGGTTACAGGAAGCTATCAGTGTTCCAAAACTGCACTTCCGCTAGGACTCGTCCGTGGTTCTCTCTCTCACAGTAGACTCTCTTCCTCACTTGGGGTGCAGTGCCAATACAGAAACTTAACCAAACAATATTAGAAGTCCAGCTGTGCAGAGTTGCGTCCCTTGGGCACGCCAGAAACCTATGATTGTAGGTTCGAATCCCGGTTCGCCCCAATTATGTTCCTTGGTTTGTCAGCACCATACCCGTGCTCGTGGGTTTCACCAAAGTGGTAAACGTCTGAGAACTGCATCACTTCGGGCTTTCCTCCCACATTAAGCTCACTCACTCAAAATCTAGAAACAAAACGCTTCATGTGAAGAATGGGTAATAATAAACGTTTGAGTATAGTACTTCTTTGGGCAGAATCAAAAATAAAAACTGCATAATAATTTTTTTCAAGCAATGTTTCAATGGCGGTACCTGTGATGAGTTTGGACAGAATCGTACATATTTATTTTCAAATGAATAATAACATGAATGAGATCACTTTTACAGGTTGTGAATTATGCAGAAGAATCATGATGACTGTAACTTTCTGGACTTGACTACTAAGATAATCGTGTTACCCTTGTAGGGCATTACATATATTTCTTTACCAATGGGTTCAAATCCCGGTTCGCCCCGATTATGTTTCTAGGTATGTCAGCACCATACCCGTGCTCGTGGGTTTCACCGAAGTGGTAAACGTCTGAGACCTGCATCACTTCGGGCTTTCCTCCCACATTAAGCTGACACGCCGTGATATAACTGGAATACTGTTAAAAGCAGCGTTAAACCCAACTCACTCACTCACACTTTACCAATGTGTTATATTTCATTAAGGTTTTATGATAACTTTGCAACCTTTTTTTCTTATTTTGTTTCCACTGTAAATTTGATCATAGGTAACATTTCATAACATTTGTAAATGACGGGCATACAATTAAAAAAGAGCTTCCCAAAGGTCAAAATACTGATCATATAAATCATATTATAATAGCTTCAAGCGAAATGATTTTTACTCAGTTGGTTCATAAGATTATTTGATAAGAAAAAATGAATTATAATACAAAAAACCATACATTTTTCTCTATGTTATATATCATGGTTATGTAATGATATTTGATGATGACTGATGACAAGCAATATTTGAATTTATCATATAATGGGTAGGTTTCTCGGCAGGATAAAGCCAACGGAAAAAAACGATATCCGTTGGGGTCATATGCGGATAGAGATGCAAACATCAAAGGTCAAGAAGGGACTTCTTTCACTGTTTATAAACAAACATGGCGTCGCCCTCGTCATTTGGCGATCGAGTCAGAATTAACCATCGGGAATCTGGATAAACTACAGGGATAATTGCTATCATAATCAAAAGAACAGTCTAATATACTGAAAATCAGTTTCTAACTGTGACGTAGCTAAGGCATTTTATAAGTTTTGGCAACTTTGGAGATATAAATTTCGAAACAATTTTGCGAGGGCACGAGGCCTAGTCAAGCGGGATCAATAGCCATATCTGTGCTTGTAGACATCTGCGGCTTGAAATCTTCTCGACAAACTAAAATAGTTGGATTTGGAACCAAATATATTTGAATTGTTACCTTGTTTCGTTTTGTCGCTGTGTGTACATCTGACTACACTTCTTAACGTTATGACAGACCGACGGTCAACAACGTCTGACCGTGGCCGTGACGTCTCATAGACTAGGGTTAGAGTAGCTTCCCTTTGACAAAGGGCAGTTACTCTAGCGGACAGACCGATGGATTGCCGCGAAAGGCAAATAAAAACAATTGTTGTTTTGCGTATATGTTCCTTCGCAACTGTACAAGAAACAGATTTCAGTTGGAACTATATTGGCTACTGTCACTGTCCGACTGACCCATCACTTACCCTATGACGTATTATATATTAATGCGCGCATTCCAGGAAAACTCGCAATGTTTCGGTAATGTTTGTGAGAGAGGGAAAGCAATTTTGAAGCACAGAATTAAAGAATGACATTATATGATAAAGAGGTTATCACGCTTGTGTGTTTGGGGATGGTAAATATCCTGTATTAGGAATAAACACTATGTATTTAGCTCGCCAAGGCTCGCTAAATACAATGTTTATTCCTAATGCAGGATATTTACCATCCCCAAACACACTCGCGTGATAACCTCTATACACGTGAAATTCAATTCCGGTAATGTGTTGAATTGATGCATGGATATGACAATTTTACTTAGAGCGTCTTTAATGCCACAATAATATGTCTTAAAGAAACTACATTGTACTCAATTCACCACCATTCACATAGTTCTAAACTTAACCTTAATGATATTCTAGGTGGAACAAATTGAATATGAGGTTGAATAATGTAAGTGCATCCCCAGCCGGAAGTAAAGAAAGTGTCGTCTGCTATATGTTTCTACAGAGACATAAGGAAGTTAATTATACAGCCGTCCTCGTCTTTATCAGTGAGGAGGTGGGAGATTTGTTCATGTCAACCTTCACTAAAGGGATTTTTCCAGCTGCAGTTTATTTGTTAGATGTGGTATCAGATTACAGATGTACTGTCATCATTAGTCGTTGACGTGTTGACGGGAGACTGGCCGTTAGCAGCTTGGGGAATTGCATATAAAACAGATTTGGTACTTTTCTTTTGTTTTGTGTGTATATGTACATGTCAATATAATATTGCCGTTTAGTTTGGACGGTAAACTGATGCAAACATACATAATATTCCAGAATAGGCTACCCCTGTAGGCCGCCGGTGACTGAAAGCTAGATCAAATAATAGGTAACGTGTAAATGTCGTATTTAGGATGACCCACAGTGGAGAAGGGGCGGTCGGGTAGCCTAGTGGTTAAAGCGTTCGCTCGTCACGACGAAGACCCGGGTTCGATTCCCGACATGGGTAAAATGGGCCCATTTCTGGTGTCCCCCGCCGTGATATTGCTGGAATATTGCTAAAAGCGGCGTAAAACCATACTCACTCACTCACTCACAGTGGAGAAATGAAAAATCAACGCGTGACAGAATTCAATAGAAAAACACTGGAACATGTATGCTGAAACATAAAACTTACCTGAGCAAAATTAAAACAGAGCTAGACCACCTAACTGGGGATCATGGGGACTTACAGTGCATTTGCTTCCTGCATGATTCCCAGCAGGATTTATGCCATCGCCTTAGTCACGAGTGGTTGTACGCAATATTAACCAATATTAAAAAATCAAAGCACAATCAAGGAATTAAAACACTAGTTGATATTTAATACTTCAATATAGATGGACTCACGTGCCACTGTCAGGGAGACAATAACTTTACACTACTTTAACCCCCTCAGTGGCACCGCCTTCCTACATCTCAGTTGACAAAAATATCAAACTATTCTAAAACAACTCAAAATTTATCAAATAATAGCATTTCTTTGAAAAAAACGAGAATTAAATGAGCACTGATATTATAAAAAAAATCCTTAAAAGATGGTGAATGATAATAGAATAAGAATAGCATTGGCCTCAGCTGTAAAAATAGAACTATTACCTGGGACTCTGGAAGACACCCCTTTAGATCCAATGACAGTGGCACTTGAAACTTTGCCACCATCCTTGGAGCCATCGGTAAAAATAGAGCGGTAGGTATCATTTTGACCGCAATTGAACATATTCTTGTTGATAGACCAACTGGTTTGTGTCAGCTTTTTTTAGGGTAGTTAGTGTTGCCAAGGAGGTGTAGACAGTAACCGGCATGGTGAGATAGTAGAAAGATCAGTATTAGCTGCGATAATATGTGGCTTAATTCTGAACCCTAGAGGAGGAACAAGTTTTGGT